TAAAACCCAGTCTCTCCACTCCCTCATAGAGCGTGTCTTGTTGTTCTGCATGTGAGAATGATTCAGAGCGTGCAGACCAGTTCTTCTTTCTATTTTGGTGGCTCTTACCTCGGGGAAGGAGCACTTCCTTATACTCTTCCTCTACTCTTCTCCTCACGCTCACAGATTTTTGATGAAGATGTGCAGATGTTTGCAGTTAAACTGTATCGGTAGTTGTTATAACCATGAGAGGGGGGAAAAATCAGCAGGATGTCTCATTTGAACTGGTTGGCTCTAATGTAGGTCAGGTAGGTTAATATAGGCTAACATGTGGAATAAAGGCACAAGCACAAAACAATCTGTCAACCAAAAAGAACAATAGCTGGGCATTGTCATGAAATGGCTTGAACGGCTGCTCATCTGAACTGACAAAGACGGTGGGGTAATATGGAGTAGGGGCCTGCCAAGCCACTCGTGATGCTCACGGCTGAAAGGGGATTATGAATTGTTAAGCAGGGCACTGGGACACCGGTATTATCGTAAGTGTGTGACGTGGTTTGCCTCATTAAAACTCAGGCCGATTGATCACACTCCCAGAGACTTAGCTTTTTCTCAGCGGTACTCCTGTTAAAGTCGAGGCCCATCTTGGGGTGTCTCTGCCTTTGTGGCGCGGTGGAGCTCTGACCGATAGTAAACTCTGAGGGAATGCGAGAACTTCCTGTTGATAGCGAACACTCACTTCAACAGATGGTTTCAGAAAGAGGAAACCACATTGCCGTGCAATTTTGAGTGGTTTGTGTCTGACAATCCACAAAAACAGATTTGTAGCTTGTCTTATGGCGTAGTTGAATTTCATCAGCTGATTCCTGATTGAATTTCGTAGCAGTGGACAGCGGTGACTTCATTGCAGGCTTGCTGTTGTTGGAAACGTATAGTGGCTGCAGTAATTGGATTTGAACCAGTAGTCTAAAGCCTTCTAGTAAAGCTGTCCTGCTGACACCATTCCAGTGGGCTAGTGAAGGACAAACTGGTTACCCCTCCGCACCCTCTTACATCATCATCATCATCATCATCATCACTCGGGACTAATTATCCTCCTCCGCCCACCCTTCTGGTCACCACGCCCTCCTTTTGAGGCTTGATGGGCTTTTGTATGAGTGTGTGTGTGTGCATGCAATGCTGTGCAAAAGCTTTAGGCACTTACGTTATTTTGATTCTTATCCATAATCAGGTACAATCAGAAAGACATTTGATTGGTCCCAAATTCATTCTGTAGCAAGATCCAAACCCTAAATATACAGCAAGAATCATTAAGATCTATCTTCAGTGAGAAGAAGAGCACTGAGTCCTACAACAGATGGTGTGGGCCCCTCACAGCCATGACCTCTCAAATCTAAACTCACAGAAGAATTGGAGTTCTCAAAGATGCTTAAAACAACGCTAACGCACAATACCTTGAAAAAGTGTGTGCAGCTATACTGAACAGAACTGTTCTGCAAAGACAAAGGGTGGCGACACCAAATATTGATTTAATTTAAGTTGGATATGTTTCTATTTTGTGTTAACCGCACTGTAAAAATAACTGATTAAAAACCATATCTGGCATGAAAGTTATTTTAATCACTTTATATATTAGTGCTTAATACTTTTGCATAGTGCTATGTTGTCACAGTGAAGCCTGCTTTGAAGTGTGATATTGACATTTAGGGTGGGGCGACACAGCTGACAAACCTTTCACCATAAAATGTTCCTTTTCAGATGACAATAGTAATTATTTATCGTTGACCTACTTTTAATAAAGACCAGCAGGAAAAAAGGCTTTTTTGACTTTAACTATCTTGGTTTTAATTTAGTCACTTGGTCCTGTTTTTCAGAGTATAAGGATAACAATATTAATGTCAGCACAACAAGGAAAAAAACCCAAATTAAATAGAAATATACTAAGTAAGGATAAAGGAAGGGTACATATCACAAGAAAGCTAAGGAAATTCTGGAGGCACATGGATGACCAGAGCAAACCTGCCACACTGCACCGAGGTTAAGGTTTCAAGTGGCTGGCCAGGACCGAGTGTCACCGGACCCCCGCACAGACCTTCGTGCATACCCCAAAATAAAGTCTGTTAGCAGTAACTGTGAAGCCGATCAGTCAGGGGAGGTCAGCAGGCACAGATGGGGATGATGAGGGGCTCAGGCGGCCGCGGACTTGCTCACCTTGAGATACCTTTTCAGCATCCAGTGGGGAGAGCAACAGGGAGTAGCACACATCATTATCAAGGGGTATAATTAGTTGTATACGAGTGAGCAAGGGAGCACACTTGGGGTTTGTTCATGCAACCGTACTTTGCGTTTTCATTATGTGCTTTTGTGGCAGTTAGCGTCTGATGCATTGTGGTGACACTATCTAACATCGTAACGGACAATTTTCTGATTTCTACGAATGAAGCGTGTATCACAAGCACATATTGCTGTTGTTTTATCATACGTCTACATATCTGTATATCTGGCGATGCATTTGGGCCGATCATTAGTGATAGCACACCGTCATTCAGGTGACCCGACAAGGAGCAGTCAGTTCCCAGGCTTGTCTCTCCTGATCCACAGCCATCCTCAAGCTTTTCCTGCTGCTTCTGACACTCTGCTAGTGGCTTTTCTTTTCAAATGTGCCAGTGAAACCGTTTAGCCTGTAAACCATGGAACAAGCTTTAAATACAATATTGACTTATTATATAAAGCTGTAAACAGTTGGGAAGTTGCATGTTGGAAAGCCGTGGCTGCTTTACACAGCCAGTAGACACGAGAAACAACATTAATATTTATTTGGGGACATTTTTCTGAATCTTCACCCTCCTTTTAGATATTATTTTGGTCATCTTTGCTTGCTGAGGGAAATAAATGTATCTTTAGCTTTACTATGTTGGTTAAGGTCGGGGAGCATACAGGGTGTTTTTAGAGGTGTTTTGCTGAAAAGAGCTGCTGCTGCAGATAACAGTGAGAATTTAGCAAAATGTAAAGTTGCATCCAATGTACAAAAAAATCCCTTTGTAGTGGAGTAGCAGATCTGAGTGGTAGTTCTTTATTGGACTGTAGCTGTGAGCAACCTCTTTCACAAAAAGGTCATTGTTAATGTATAAATATTGATTAGTTTGCCTTAACACACATATATACAGCAAAACTATTTTTTCATGTGTGTAATTGGTGAAAGGAAAAAGTAAAAGAGCCCCTGTTGTCTCCTTTCACATGTACTGAACCTAAAACATGTTTAGTATTACCTACGGTCCTACACACGATCAGCTTTAAAGAAAAAAACAGTTTTATTGGTTGTTTCCTTACCGAAACTTGGTTTGAAGTTTCATTGTTAGTGATTCTGAAACTGGTTTGTTTGATTTAAATATTAGTTTTATGTTTCCTATTTCTACTTTTGCAAATGAGTGATTAATGCCATTTCTGTATGTGCAAGTAATGTACCTGCGTAGGTTGAGATTTTTTTTTTTTGAGTAAGAAAGCTGAATCCAATTTTCAAGTCTAAAAAAAGAGTTCTTTGATATTCACTGCAGCTGTAACTATTTATAATATTGTTGCTTCTGCTCAGATTGCCCTCTTCAAACAGTCATAAATGGCTGAGTCTTTAGGATACATCTCGACTGTGACTGAATAATATTGTTCTTAAAAACTTGAAATGTCTCAGCAGAGTGTTCTGTGTTTTTTTTAAAGACCTCCATCAGGTTTATTAGAAATGGTTAAAATAGTCGCCGTGTGTTTCCAAGTAAGCCTGCCCCAGGTTTCACCTTTCACAGGACAAGGAAGGAGGTGTTTAGTGAGCACCCCACATTGTGGCATCCACATTTCCCAACCAAAACAAGGCTGAAGGGTAAAGACTCTTTAAGCTGCAAGGAACAATGTGGTCAAACACACTCAGGAAGTGAAGGCTCACTAACTACCACCCAGTTGTACCGAATATGCGTAACAGCCAGACTTATTGACCACAGTGTGTTTGCAGTGGAGCGCAGAAAGCTCTCAGCCTTGCCATAGATAGACAGCCTGCTAGTGTATTTTTTTGGTTTTCTATCCAGCTGCTGACCGCGTCACTACTTGACACTTTGATGTTTAACTTAGGTTTTCCCATCCTGCGATACCCACTGACTGCTAGGATTGCTTTCATGCTAATACCCTCTTGTTGTAAGAGTGAACTTAGGTCCACAGCTAAAATCTGCCTAAGTGTGTTTGTGTGTATCAACATTTTACAGCGGTTCCTATCAAATAAAACCGCTTGTTTTCATTGCGGTGGCAGATGTGTACAGACGTGGACAGACAGACAGAGTTATTGCATGTCTCAGGCTCAATATCCTCTCAGTGTGGGCGTTGTTGTTGTTGTTGCCGTGGCCACTAGGCTACAAAGGGGGTGTAGACCTTTGGCGCATGGATGCAGCAAAGCCTGACGTCCTCTAGTGGCAGCTGTGATAACGTGCATCTCTGTCCAGCGTTGACTGGGTCTGGAAACATTTGCGGTTCAATCAAAGGAAGAAGGGCTGTTTCATGACAACCACCGAATTTAGGAAGTGACCACAGATGTTGAGATAATTTAGGCTTTTAGGGCCCAAACGAGCACAATGGGACTCACTATTCTTCACTTAAGATGTTCGGACTGAAAGCTAAGTTGAGGAAAAATGCGCACAAGGAACACATTCAATCATGCTGCAGTATACGTATGTATGTGAAGTGTACTTGTGCAGTTAATTTATTTATTTAAAGGTTGAGTGCCAGCCTGTAAATATGAACTACAGCTGAACTCTGAAAAACTCAGAGGGTGCTTTTAGGAATTGGACTAAGCTGTCAAAACGGCATCCTGTACACCCACAGTATGGACCTTGATATGAATTTGACTGCACACCCAAGTGATAATTTGACACTTTTGCCATACAGTAGGATTCTGGTTATGTCAGTGCATCAACTTTGCAAAATGTGATTTCAGGAACTAAATATCTGTTGCATTTCTCTGCTCTGTCTCCACCTTCTCCCTCCAGTTCTACCTCCAGACAAGAAGGGGGCACCGCTGCATCCACGCAGGGAAAAAGCGGGGGTCATAAGATCTGTCTGGTTTGCTCGGACGAGGCTTCAGGCTGCCACTATGGCGTTCTCACCTGCGGCAGCTGCAAGGTCTTCTTCAAGAGAGCAGTGGAAGGTGCAAAGCCGTTATTTGTTTATTAATTGCCTGCAATAAACAGTTGTCACTAATGCGTGTAACACAAGTTCACTCAAACGCTGGAGTCTTCACGATTTTAGGTTTGACCCATGATCATTACGAAGTATATGACTGTGATGCAGCTCGTTAGATTTTCATTCTTCAGTGTTTGGCTCAGCAATAAAAGTAAATAACAGACAAATCCTTTTTTTCTGTGTGCTTCAGGGCAGCATAATTACCTGTGTGCTGGGAGGAACGACTGCATAATAGACAAGATTAGAAGGAAGAACTGCCCAGCTTGCCGCTTCCGCAAGTGTCTGATGGCAGGCATGAACCTGGAAGGTACGTATTAACCGCAGTGATTATGCCAAACAGGGAAGCCTTGAGGTTGTGTTAATTGCTTCTTCCTCCTGTTTACCTCTTCGCTTTGTGTGACTAAACTCTTCCCCTCATGTTCATCCCTGTTTCCCCCTTTGAAGCTCGCAAAACCAAGAAGCTGAATCGCTTAAAGGGCGCCAACATGAGCAACCCGCCCGAGGTGACACCTTCTCCGCCAATTGAGGCTCGCTCCCTTGTGCCCAAGTGCATGCCTCAACTTGTTCCCACAATGCTGTCCCTGCTGAAGGCCATAGAGCCGGACACCATCTACGCCGGCTACGACAGCACCCTGCCCGACACCTCCACCCGCCTCATGACCACCCTCAACAGGCTGGGTGGCCGACAGGTCATCTCTGCTGTCAAGTGGGCCAAGGCTCTGCCAGGTTAGTGGTAGGCAGTGTAAATGGTGAGATTAAGTTTGTACGAGTGAGTATTTAAACAGGAAACGTGATACATTGAGGCAAATCTGCAGCCGCAATAGGTTTTCAAAACATTTTTTGCCATGAAATGGGTCTTTTTGTATTTACACCTCTCTACGTGTGAACTTCAGTATTTAAATGTAGCACTTGACGTAAAGGCTGCCCCCCCGAAAGCCTGTGCTTCCACGTATCAGTCGTAGATCCCACATTCCACTCAGATTGTTCGAGTTGAGTACTTGTTCATCCACTTCACAGCATGTTGTGTGCTCGAGGTGAGAGATAAGTTCAAACCCGAGGTGGAGTGTTGCTCTTTGCTATCAGCTGAGCCTTTACCTTCAATGAACATGGCCTTGTGTGTTACGTAGGCCCATTGTTGTGAGAACTATGTGACTGTAGTGTGTAAGGAAGTAATGTTACCACATATAGCTTCAGTGCAAGCAACAGGGGTGATTACCTTGCTGTAGTCAGCCGTAAAGTGTTGATATAGGCGTAAGTTTAAGTGTACCAGCTTTCTAAATGCTCTTTACTGTGTTTATGCTGTCTCCTTCTTACCACTAGGGAGCAGGTCCAGATTCAGTTAATTGTTTATTCATTTACAGTGGATTTAGAGTAAAATTTAAAAAAAATAGGCTAGAAGAGCTTTATTTAATGAGAAATACATGTGTGGTTCAGTAGTCTGACAAATCTATATGGTAGATCGGCATTTTATATCTGCAAAAGAAATCATTGAAATAAAATGTCAAATACAGTTTGACTGAAAAAATTCTGATTTAGGTAAATCGCTGCTTTATACCCACTGAACAACGAAACTCAAAGCCAAGTTTGTAATTTGTTCTGTCTTCATTGTTTGGTGTTTCAGGTGTTGTGTGACAGCACCTACAACCCTAAATGCAGCTGTCATGTGCAGTCACGTTTTACTTTGACAGAAGCTGTTCTAATGTGTTGGTGTGGTGAAAAACAGGTGTCTTGTCTGCTTTGATTTGTGTAAACTGACACTGCATCTGGATCTGCTCCACCTGGCACTAAGCTGACGCGTGGGCACATTCAGCAAACTGGGTGAAACTGATTGTTGGAGCTCAGTTGGACAAAAAAATGTTTAGAAGTAAGGTAAAATGTAGTTGCTTCAATCAGAATCTGATTTTACCTGATTACAGTTTTTTCATTACATTATAAATTGCCACTGCACACATTGCGACTGTATTAGCAGTTGATTGAAGTATTTCCACGTCCTTCCTCTCAGGATTCAGGAATCTGCACCTGGATGACCAGATGACTCTGCTGCAGTGCTCCTGGCTCTTCCTCATGTCTTTTGGTCTGGGCTGGAGGTCTTACCAACAGTGCAACGGCAACATGCTGTGCTTTGCACCAGACCTCGTCATCAATGAGTATGTATCGTTTAGCATTAAGTCTGCAAGCCTGACCATTTTTGTTTGCCCTTATTCAAAAAGCAGCACTAGATCAACATGTTTGAATTAAGTCTACTCCACATTCTTCGAGGGAAGTGATCTTTCACTACCAAATGGAGTGTCTCACATGACTTGATGTGGTATTTCCCAGTCTTTGATTTTTTTTTTTTTCTTTGCCACCATATACATCTGTTTGAAGTCTTTACGTGCAGCTTTCTGCTCTCTGTCGTGCACCGTATCTCCCAAGAATCAAACCGTGTCTGTCAGCTGTCGTCAGTGATCAGTGTTTCATCCTTCTTATAGTCTTGATGACTCCGCTCTGAGTGCAGTGAGCCGTCAGCACAGCTACCACGCTCAGGGCTGTAATAGGCCTTTTGGTTTTTTTCGTTTTTTTGTTTACAATCACAAGCTGAAAGTTAACGTGATCATAATTAATGCCTGATGAGTTTATGTTCTCTATTTGTCAGTCAGCCTCCAAATGAAACGCAGCTACAGCCTGTGTTTTGTCAGATCATTGTATTTGCGTTTAATTACAGCAGACAGTTTGTCATTGCCATTGTTGGTGGTTTAATGAATATTGGTCAAGAATCTTGAGATGACACTGAATTCTGGAGGAATTATTTTAAATAGGATCCACAGATTGATAGCAGCAGACCTGTGAAGTCCACAGATATATTAAAGGGAGCTGCTTCGTTTCCTAGCTGAGACTACACAAGCTGCCGTACAAATCAGCTGTAATCTAAGGAGAGAAGTGTTTACATGCTTTTTGAGCTGTTTCTGTCTGAACACACAGGGAGCGGATGAAGCTGCCCTACATGGCCGACCAGTGCGAGCAGATGCTGAAGATTTCTAGCGAGTTTGTCCGGCTGCAGGTTTCCCACGACGAGTACCTGTGCATGAAGGTCCTGCTTCTGCTCAGCACAGGTCAGAACGTTTTACAGACTCTCTATCACATGTTGAAGGCAGGCCTGTGTTAATGCAATCATTGCAAAAGCCATTATTTCAATCCAATACTGTCTACAGTTGCTAGAAGGTTGATTTTAATGGATGTACAGGACAGTACATCACAGGAAAGCACTTTTCTATGTGACTAACTGGCATGCAGTTATCATAAATAAGAAGCCGATTGACTGCAGAAGTGGAGAACACTGAATCATGTTTTCTCATAAGTGTAGTCTAGCACAGAAGAACTAAAGGTGCCAACTGAGAATAAATAATTACATTCAAGCAAAACTCAGCTTGCAGTCTGCATGGCTATCTCAAGTGTGCTATTCTTTCTATAGGGCCTGTGTCCTTTAGACCCTTCACAGCATGGATGTTTACTATAATTTTAAAAATGCCCTTCCATCTTTATAGCTTAAAACTGGGAGTGTGAAGTGTGAAGTATTGGTACTTAGGAGTCTGGTACGTCCTCCTTATGTCTGTCTCCAAAGTTAATGTCGAGTTTCTCCTCTCCCACAGTGCCAAAGGACGGCCTGAAGAGCCAGGCGGTGTTCGATGAGATTCGAATGTCGTACATCAAGGAACTGGGCAAAGCCATTGTGAAGCGCGAGGAGAACTCCAGCCAGAACTGGCAGCGTTTTTACCAGCTCACAAAGCTACTGGACTCCATGCATGAGGTACGGGGACCCAGCACACAAATGACAAAAACCCTTTTGATGTCATCAGGTTGACAGCTGGTCATGATTGACAGGCTGTAGTTGGCAGCTTTCTCAGTGAATCCTTAAACAGTGAACTGCTGTCTGTGATTAATCGGATTACTTTGTTAGTTTAACCGTGTCAACCCCCAAAACGTCCTGCTGTTTGACAGGTATGTTATCTTTTTAAACATGGGCAAAATGACACGATTTGTCAGAGCTGGAATCTGTAAAAACAGACAGCCTTGATGGATTTTCAGCTTTCTACTCGTCATTGTGTGATGTGCCGCTCAGTTGGTAAATTTAACAAAATTTAAGCTCAAAATCCTTATATTCCATCAAAAACACTCTATTCTCAATTTCCCATTGAAATGTTTGCCAAAAGTAAACTGTTTGCACCAAACAGCTTTTGTAAAACGTTATTCTCACAGTGCAACTTACAAACTTTTATTCGTTTATCTATGACTAACAGTCACGATATAAAAAGATCATCGACTTCATCATTGCCCTCAATGTTTGAAAATGTGCTTGTGCAGTTTAGTGCATTTGTCCATCACATGGATATGAATTACTCTCTGGACCCCAAACGTTTTGTAGGTGTTTTTTGCACACATTTTTTTTGCCACATTTTTACTCACTGTGGGCTCATTTTTCACTGAAAACAAAACTTGAATTTGATTGATTGTTAATTTTCCAAAAATTAAAAAAAGCAAACAAAAAAGTGGAATCAGCATGTACACCAATTTTGCAAGTGCCAATTTTTTTTACCAATACAATGAAAAAAATGTTGGTCCTCCTTACTACAGATATTTTGCTACGTACATCTTGCCTCTTTGTGTAAACACAGTCTGCAGTTCAGCCAAAAAATCCCAGAATTTTCGTCACGATTCAAGTTGAGTCACTGATAGCTTTCGGATGCATCAAAAGTAAATCTTTTGGCTTTTACAGAATGCATTTGGGGATTTTGTTGAAATATCCCAATTTTTTGCTTAGATCTGACTGTTTTAAAGAGTTCCTGGTTCTGATAGAAGATGTAATTTTGGCGATTAAAAAAAAAACGATGCCTTTCAGATCTGCTGGCAGGTTTTCGAGTTCAGAGGGTTAAGTGCTGGTCGGGGTTGAAAGCTGCTAGACATTCCTTTTGAAATGCACGTGTTTTATGTTAATTATCGGCTAACACGCCCTCCCTCTGCTGTGTTTGCAGATGGTCGGTGGACTGCTCAGCTTCTGCTTCTACACCTTTGTGAATAAATCTCTGAGCGTGGAGTTCCCGGAGATGCTGGCAGAGATCATCAGCAACCAGTTACCAAAATTCAAAGCCGGGAGCGTGAAACCTCTCCTCTTCCACCAGAGATGACTGATCCCCATAACAGACACAATGCCTTAAAAATCCCACCACATCACCTCACCTTCCCAGCCCGATTCAACCAACCACCCCACCTCCCCCAAGAAGAGCGACGATGAAAGGACTGAGGATCCAAGGCGAGGAGTGAATGATGTTTTTGGGAGCGAGTATGCAACTTGGCTCGCGGGTCTGGGGGAATAGAGCAGAAGCATTTGCGTAGATCCCAGACAGCGAGCACAAGACGTTTTGTTTTGTTGATCAGTAAGATGTAGTGAATAACAGCATAGGAAACGTTTGTAAGATAAAAGATAATCACAAAGAGAAAATAGGCTAACATCAATGTCGTCTCAGGTTTCTTACCTTCAAATTCAGAACGATATCTAAAATAGATAGAACAAATATCTATGTACAGGTTCTGATAGTATTTTCTACATTTTCAAATTATAACAGTTTATACAATTTTCCAGGTCGTTGTTACCTGAGGAGGTAACAAAGCTTAATACCATGCTCTTAAGTAGGCTTCTAGACTGTATGTTCCACTTTTAGTTTTTATAGGAGGTCGTAACAAAATGTTTCAGTCACACAAGGGGGGAAAATAGAAACTCTTGTTTTCTAGTCATCTGAAAAGCATATTTCATTGCTTTGATCGAGTAACTTCGGACACAAGAAACAACTGCGTGGAACTGTTAACCGACGTCCACCAGTCAAAGGATGATTTCTCCCACAAGCCACCTCTTCCAGGTTTACACATGTCTATTATAAAAGGGAAAAAACGTGCCTTTTTTGCTTCAAATATCATCTTTAGCCATTTTCTTCCTTCCATACTCCTCTTTGACCTGTCACGCTCTACCTTCATCATATGTTGATTGTACTTTTGATATTACATGCAGTTGCAAGTTTTCCTTTTTCAAACGGCTGTGTTTATCTTTAGAAGCGGCAGCTCAGTCCATCCTCTATGTGTAGAAATGATCCTCATTGTTATGAAACAATATTCAAAGCCTGCTTCCTTTCATGCGATCTCCCGCACACAACTCCTTAAGTGCTATTTGAGCACTTTGTTCTCTGCTAAAGGCTTTAAAAGACTGTGAAGAAAGGCTGTTACACTGTACCAGTCTTTACTGTATGACCTTAGATGGAAGTTAGAACTTTTTCTATTAGGAAGTAGCCCATTTTTCGTTTTCATTTTTAGCTCCCACTCCTGCCCCAGTAGTCCAGTAGTGGAATGTGATAGATATCTGCGTCTACCAATCACAAGTGAGAGGGCGTATTTTATTGTGTTTGCAAGATTGTCATTTTTAATTAATCAGGAAAACTAATTTCTGTGTTTTTAATATGGCTCAAACTGGTTGGAAAATAACCGTCCTTCACATTTTCAATTCTTTTACAGTCTTTGGTAAAAATGCAGCCATGATTCTGCTTCTGATGATTCTTTCCGGCATTATGTCCTCGCTCTTAATAGGCATCTGCTTCGGATAACCTTTTTTTTTTTTTTTGTTAATCGAAGGCCTGTGTATTATTATATTGCTATATTTGTTAAAGGAACAGTTGAACATTTTGGGAAATACAGCAACACAGTTTTTTGCAAAAAGATTTGAATGATGATACTCGGGGGTCGACCGATAGTTGTGTTTCAGGGCCGATATCGAGGAGACTGATAACTGATGTTTGTAATCAGTATATATTTGCACTTAGAAGGAAAGCCGTGGTGTCAAAAGTGAGAAACTCCAAACTTGAGTTGTAGTGATGTATTCATGTAGTTTAATCTACAGAGAACTTTTTAACACAAATCTATCTGTGTTAGTAGCTCAGAGTAGCACATTGTTGAATTTGTTTCGGGAGCACTTAAAAAAATACCTACTAAATACAGAAATTGATACCAGTAATTAGAAAAATGTGGGCTGTGATAATTGGCCATACCAATAATCGGTTGACCCCCTGTTGATGCTGCCGTCTTACAGCTAGCTCGGTTCTGTTGAAGGGTAACAAAATCCATCTACCAGCTCAAGTCACCCGTTAAACCAACTATTCAGCCTCTTATGGTGAATGATGGGCTATTTCATGACCAGGACTAGTTGCCAGGCAACCAGCGGAGGTTTCAAAGATGTAACTTATCCCGGCCACAAAACGTACCATAAAGGCTGAATGCCCTCAAAGGGTTGTTTTTTTGTCATAGTTTGTTTCTGTTGAGTAAAACGTGTGTTGCTGAGCTGTGGAGGATTTAGTTATCTCCAAACGGAGCGAGCTCAGCCGTTTTCCCGGGTCCAGTCTTTATGCTGGAGCTAAGCTAACCAGCTACAGCTTATCGTAGAGGCCCGAGTGGTATCGATTTCTTCCTCATCTCGCGCTCAGCAAGAAAGTGAGTACGTGTATTTGCCAAAATGTTCAAGTGTTCCTCCTAAAGTCAACAGTTTGTATAATAGACAGCTTGTGTATACAGCACTTTGGATCGGGCGCTGGCAGATTCATTGCCCTGTAAACCTCCCACAGCTGCTGATACCCTTTGACCCCCCACCCCCACCCCCTCTCCTGTTGAGATCCTTCAGCGCCCCGTTGGCAACTTGCCCTGATGTCTGTGTGTCTTTAGTACCTTTGTATGTCTATTTGATTGTCTGTTCGTCGTCGAGCCCCAGCGTTTCAAAGCACTTCTCATCGTTCACCTCATAGAGTCCTGTCACAGTGAAAGTGAAGCGTTGCTGACTGGGGAGGCAGGCAAAATGGATCCTTTATTCTCTGGGAACTATTTCAGTGCCAAACTCCTGTTTTGTCTGTTTTCAGTGATGCTGAAAGTTGGTCAGTATTTGTGTGAAAAGAAGAAACAAATCCAAGCAGTGAAGCTTATGAATTAGTCTGCTGATGAGAGGGAAACGTCCCCAATCATCTTGAGTTCGAGCCCACTGGATTGATGTCGTTATTGAGTGATAACCGAGCTTTATTCATAACACAATAGTGTTGCGTAATCGCACACATTAATGCAGGTCTGTCTCTTTGTTTGTGTGGCGTAAGCGCTAATGTGAAATGCGTTGCAACATTTTCATCAGTCAGTCGAGGTTGTCTGCTCCGCATCGGCATGTTTCATAAGCCCGGCATGTTTGTTTTTGTTTAAAGCACTAATCCAGGTTTTTACATGAATGTGGAAAAAGAATTCATTTAACTTGAAAAGAAAAGTTATTGACAGATTAAAGACAAACTTATAAATAATTGGATATGTATGTGAAGTGATCTGCAAAGTGCTCAGTGGTAAACGAAAAAAAAATGTTGCAATTCTGTCCCAACATAAAAAAGCACTCTTTCTAAATTTTAAACAGCTCCCACGCTCGGCTTGTTTTAATGATTCACACAGTATGTAGCTGTCCGTGTTTAGTTCTGACACAAAGAACCAAAACCAGTTTGGATTTCCCCCACACGTGTCTGCTTCTGTGTTTTATGGCGTTTATTTGTGCGGGATTAAAAAAATAAATTAAAAAAAAAAGAAGAAGAAGCCAAGTTGATACATCAGCAAAGTTTGAAGAATCTGCTGCCACCAACGTCTTTCATACTTACGGCTCATACAACACACGCTTGTTATTTTTCTTTGAAGTTTATTCAAAATAGTGGAAAAAAACCATCCTCATTAACTGCAGAGGGGTTACTCGTGGGTTACTTTCACATTCAGTGTATCCAAATCTCTGCTGCTGCTGTTCATTTAAAAAAGGTATCTACATAAATATATATACATAAATATATACATGAAATCGCACACTTGCCTCTTCTTGCTCAAAAATGTATCCCGTTTACCTTCTTGTACATTTTTGAGGAGGACAAATGAATATGCAATAGAAATACAGATAATCTATCACCATTCACATAACATTTATGTGCTTACTTCTCTTACGTATTTCAATTTTTTATTTTTTATTTTTCCGATATAAGCTATTTGCATACAGGAGATTCACGTATAACTTTTATCTCTGCAGGCCAGATTTTTTTTCAGGATATTCAGGAAACAGTTATCGGTCCACCCAGACTGCACAAAAAAAAAACAAAAAAAAAAACCCTATTTGATGTTTGACAACAAGGTGACCAAAGCAAATACACACAAATTCAGCATTATGTCAGTGTAAACTAAGGAGCTCCTATACGACAAATGTACAGTTCTTTTTTTTTTAAACCCCTTTTTTTTTTTTTTTTTTTTTTTTCATTTTCCTTTTTCTTTTTTTTTTCTTTCCAACACATTTTTTTTTACTCTAACGTGATGGCTTTGGTCAAATTGTGTAATACTGTGAATAGGATAGGAGTCGGTCTTTTTCACACACAAACTGTTTGTGAAAGTAATCAACCAGCTTGAATCTAAAAATATTTGCACTACCCAAATATTGTTTTGAAAATCTATTTTGTATAAAACATATGCAGACATTAACTTTTGAGAATTATCAAGGGCGGATCATGTTTCACTGGTATATGCTTTCTCTAAAAAGCTTTTGTTTCGCTTAAAACAAGTTTAATATGTACATATAATCCATTGTAAAGAAAATGTGGTGTATTTGTCTCCAAATAATAGTTTTTCAGTACCTACCCTCTGTATTATTTCTCCTCTGTAGTGTGACTCCTGTTGATCTTTTTCTGCATTGATTAAAGGTCAAACCGTACGTCTGTGTGTGCTGCTTCACTAATTATGATTTTAGCAGGAAAATTGTACGCCACTTTTTTTTTTTTTTTGTCACGTGCATCAAATAAATACACTCCTCCATTCTGACACCTGGTTTGTTAAAATCCAACCTGTTTTGCAGACTTTTCATGACTCCCCAGGTGATCATGATGACTGTTGGTTTAAGATGTTTTGAATGTTGAGGATGAGACCTGATTGGCTGAGAGCAGCTGTTCCTCTAATTTATGTCATTTCATTTGTTTATTTATTTGATCAGGGACCATGCATTTTTACAGAGAAAACATCTAATGGATTGCATATAGAGTGTGTAACATAAAGCCAATTTTCAACTCCTGTCCCTGGTTGGGCTTTTCAGTAAAAATAGACAAAGGACCAACAAAAACAACACAGACGACATTATAAACTTATAATCCCCCACATGCACACACAATGGCACAACCCACAGTCAGTCGGACCTTATACATGTCATAGGTGGGCACATTCTTGTTTTTCTTTTAGCCAGTTCTTAACTTTTGCTGTAAAAGTTTCTCAATCAAATTTGAATTTAAATTAAAAAAACAACTAATTTAAGGCACTCCGGCTCAGAAGTATGAGAATTTTAGGTTGATTTGTTTCAAATGAGCCTGAGAGGAGCCACGTGATGCTGAGGAGAGACATTTTCAAGCTATAAAAATGAAATAAACTTGTATGAAGTCAACCTCCAGTTATGTTCAATAAAACCATCCATCCATCCATTATCTATACACCGCTTAATCCTCACTAGGGTCACGGGGGGCTGGAGTCTATCCCAGCTGACTGGACAGGTCACCAGTCTATCACAGGGCTACACTTAGAGACAGACAACCAAGCACACTCACATTCACACCTACGGACAATTTAGAATCACCAATTAACCTCAACATGTTTTTGGACTGTGTGGGAGGAAGCCAGAGAACCTGCAGAGAACCCACGCTGCACAGAGAGAACATGCAAACTCTACACAGAAAGATTCCGGTGCCCCCAACGGGACGCGAACCGACGACCTTCTTGCTGTGAGGCAACAGTGCTTCAAAAAAACCAACTGGACAAAATAAGGTCAGTGAAACATAGTGTGATTCCCTGTACCGTCATATGCAGTGCAGAAAAAATCATCCACTGGCAAAGTCTTAGAAGTAAATACATGAATCATGACTTTAGGGTCATTTTACCTCAATTCACCACATTTTTTTTTAAAAAGTTCACGCCTCATATTTGTCAGATTCTTTCTTTTTATGTACGTTAAGTAAAATGTGTAAATCCTGGGGTTATAGGTAATTTGGTAACTGGTGAATTTTTATGCACCAGTCTGCTCCTTTTCTGCATCAATTTATGATGGAAATGTCTTAAATTATGCAAAAGGAAAGTAAAACTAAACTCTGCTGCTAGGTGACAGTTCAAAACATAATGGGATATAAGGCAGCGAGGCTCTCCAGCGTTCTGTACTGCCTTTAAATATTTATTCTGCTGTGCATCAGCTTGTGGTATTTAATATTATCCCTGTCGAGTCAACACACATAACACTCGCACACCCTCTGCTTCTGTCTTTTCCATTTTTAAGAGCGAAATCGAAGCTAGTGAATCAACTACTGCAGCTTTTACTCATCATAGTGTGCTGAAGGTGGATGGAAATAAAGTTTGCTAGATTTTTTTGTGGCCATGTAGTTTAAAATAGTTCTTAATTAACACTGTTGTGGCTGCACATGTAAACATCTGGCGTCATCATGAACTCCTTCACCCTAAACTCACCCACAAAATTCAAAATGTCTAAGTGTGAAATCCCTGATAAGCAGGTCCAGCAGTGTCCTAGTTACACCTGGTGTGGCTTTGCTCCTCATGAGTGACCTAATTATTCCAAAATGAGCAAATAAAACTGACTGACTGCATGTTTTTAACAGCTGGTTTGAAGCCACAACAGTCAGACAGTGATCTCACTCTGTGTCCTCTGTTTCGTCACCACTGATGGAGGTGAAGGCCAGGACTCGGGGACGCGCATCCAGCTGTCTGTGTGGTCTGCGCGCGTTCACGAGCGCATCAACAAAAAAAAAATCTCCCCTGAGCGCTGCAGGGGACAGGCAGCCCCGCTGAGTGTCTCCACTGGGAAACACCCCCCATCTGCCACAAAAAACAAAAAAACAATCCACCTGCTGGTCACTTTCCTCGGAGCAGGATGGCGGATGAAGAGATGTGCGCACTGCAGGATCAGGCTGCGGGCTGCGGCCTGCTGCTGCTGCTGGACTACCGCCGGCTCACTCGGCTCTACTGCATGAATGGCGGACACCACATCCAGATCCTCCCCGATGGGACGGTGCAGGGCCAGAGGGACGACGGGGACGCTCACAGTAAGACGCGCCGCGGGTCAGGCCTGCTTGTGTTGGGGCTGCTAGCTGCTCAGTTAGAGGCAGACAGGACATCCCACAAGTTGTGTCTGCCACAGATCTGTAGGACTACTTTACTGAACCTGTCTGCATGAGGGAAGCATGCAAAAGTGCACCAAGTAGCAGAGGGTTGTTTGTTTTAGGTCAAAAAGAATAATAAAAAAAAAGAAGGTAATCTGCAGGAGTGACATTATTTTCTGGGAGGTTTGGTTTATGTTGAGGCCTCTCTGCCTGTTAATAAAGTGGTACAGAAATAATATGAGACATCATAAAAGAATATGGGCCTTTTCATTAAAGGTCCAGCCATAAACACGTCAACACAAGGATGATGTGTCCTCTGCCTCCTGCAGCTTGTGTTCTCTTTATTGGTTAACTATGTGCTCCGCTGCAGGAGGGAGGATTTGTCTTCAACATCTGGCTATGAAACCAAAAGTAACTAAGTACATTCACATGAGTAAGGTTTGAATGTATGCTGCTTCCACATGTCAGAGGGAAATACTGTACCTTCAATTACAATTACTTGACAGAAAGATTACACAACAAACTTTTAAAAGACATGTTAAAGATTCAACCAGTGGTTTCCAAACTCTCCTGGACCTCTGACAACGTGTAACTGAGGGAATATTTCACATGTGAGTTGTTAACAGTTCCACCAACAGTGATTTTTTTTCCCCCTCATAACATCTCACATGGTTTCATTTTAGTAAATGCTTTCATAATTCAATATCTCACCGAAAATCAAAGATTACAGAAAAAGCCCACTAACTGAAAACAGACTGTCTTGATAATGGAGGCTCCTTGGATTTATTTGCTGTCCCTGTGCAAAAAAAAAAAAAGCAATAAAATAACTTGAAACAGCTACAGCAGTAAGATGACAAACTGATGCCTCACTGCTAATAATCTAATGATGCTGTATTTCATAGTGTATCAGCCAGAGGGACCAAACCAGAACGTTTCCTTTAACACTTTAATAATTGAATTTACTTTTACTGAAGTAGGGTTTTAACACAAGGCTTTTACTTGTGATCTAGCATTGCTACTTTTACTTAAAGTCTCTCTTTGGTTGTTGATTTGACCCCCTAAGAATGCTGTTCTTGGTTTCAAAGCTACATATATATATACTTTTTTTTCTTTTAAAATAACCCCTTGTTGGCTTTAAAATGGCTCTATATATGAATGTACAGATCTATAAAGTTCCCTTCAGCCACGCCTCCACCACTCACTGCAGCTCGAGCACACCAGCTCCCAGCACCATTCCGCTCAAACGCAACATTGGAGTACGTCAGAGATACATATTTGAACTGGAAACAGATTCTAAAGAATGAAATAGCAAGTCCTGGTCCATGGTTTCGTAGGTTTGTCACATGTGAAGCCTCGGAAATCTAAATTTGTTTTTGAGTCTGAGATTTGATACGCTGCGGTTTAAAGTTTAAAGTGGAAATGGTCAGTCAGACATTTTCAGAAGCTTGACTTTCACCGTGGTTGTCTTCAAGTCAAGCATCTGAATACTTCTTTCACCACTGGAGGAAACAGATGAATATTAACTACTAGCTGCATGTTCTTTCGTTTTCTTTCGAACAAGAAGTTCTGCTGCCCCTATGTAAACCCCCAATACAATAAAAAATTAAAGACAGGCATCACCAGTACATATTTAATACTTGTTTGCATCTGGATAGACTGAAAGGCTTCAAGGCAACAAGTTTTTCAGGAGATTCAACACAGAAATCTTTTATTTAGCGTCATTTAATCTCAGCTGACTGCATCTGAAATCAAAGAGCCGACGCAGTAATCTCAGATTTGTATTTATGGGTTTAACTTGATGCCGTTTTTTTCTCCGTTTAGTTGTTTTAAAGCTCAGAGCTGTGGACAGAGGCGTCGTGGTCATCCAGGGAACAGAAGCAGGACGATATTTGGCCATGAACGATGAAGGCCGTTTGTACAGCTCAGTGAGTATCCACATGATTTATAGGATCAAAGTGGATTCTACATCGGCCTTAATGATGCTGCTGTATGTAAATAGATCGTTCATGATTCCCTTTATAAATACTTAATCGCATTATGGCATCAGAACCAACGTTAAACAGCGGCGAATGCATCCGTAAACCTTTAATCTCCCCGTTGGTGCTTGTTTTGTGTTTCTCTATCAGCCCACAGTAACAGATGAATGCTACTTCCTGGAGAAGCTGGAGGAGAACCACTACAACACATATCAGCCGCAGAAATATCAGGACCAGAACTGGTACGTGGGTCTGAAAAAGAACGGGAAACCCAAGCTGGGTCCGAGAACCCACATCGGACAGAAGGCCATCTTCTTTATCCCCAGACAGCTGGAAGACTCCCAGGACTGAAGACGTACAAGATATACCTCGACCAGAAAGGACTGGACGCTGCTCACGGGTGGTTTTGTAAATACACATCAACTGAAACAATGAACTGGATCAGTAACAAGACATGAAGTGGTATGAAAATGATGGGACGGTCTGAAAATCAGCCACGACAAAGAAGGAGGTGAAACCGGCGTCTGTTCAGCTCTGATGGGGGACCAGCTGCTGTTTAGCCCCCGCACGATGATCTTTATCTTAATAAAAATGCATCAGAGCTCAAACATGGTGCCCTTCATCTTCTTCGTTGTCCACTAATTTATTTTGCAGTGGGTCTTCTGGTTGCACAGATGTTTTATCAACAGACAGCAACAGAGCAACCAGTGGTTTATTACAGTTACTCTGATGAAGATACATCAATATGAAGATCTTAGAGCATAAAAACAGGAAAAGATAGTTTGGTTAACTTAGAAACTATGTCATCACATCATTTGTCCAACAGAGCAGAGTGGTGTACTACAAAGCTAGTTTGACATATCCAGGCTTTCTCCATGTTGGCTTGCTTGACAAAACCTAAAACCCATCAAAGCTTGGTTTTATTTGCATTCTGTGCGCTCCCATCAAAGGGAGTGTTTAACATCATTTGACTCTTCATCCGCACAAAATAGGCCAATGGGGTGTTGCCGTCTTTAGTCAAGAGGAACAGGTTATTATAATGGAGAGCTGCAAGGAATGTAATAATAAACAAAAAATTGCTAAATTATAATTTAGTGAAGTAAGACATTGCTTTTGAATTGTGGTTGAACAGAATAATAAAAAAACATACAAACAAAAAAACTGTCCTGGACAAATTAGAGCACTTTGCTGATGAGCAGTGGGCCAAAATCAAAATACCTGTCAACAGGTGCAGAAGTCTGATTGAGAGTTTCAGAAAACACTTGATTGCAGTGATTGGCTCAAAGGGTTGTTCAACAAAATATTAGTTTACGGGTCGCATCATTCTTGTTTGCTTGTTATATATATATATATTTCTGTTGAACCACAGTTCAAAAACAATGTCATGATTTTTATTACATTTTTATTTATTATTACTTCTGTCAAGTTCAACTTCTTTCAGTGACAGTTGTTTTATTCCTTCTTTAATGGGCGGGTACGGATACATCTGAGGACGACTGTAGGTCTGACACCGTCCCACTGTGAAGTATGTGTGGAAATAACTTCGCCAAATCAAAGTGCAATTAATGTTATGATTGAATATTCTTGCTTCGTTGTACACCTCTCTGCTCTGACTTCATTGTTTTTAAAAGTCCCAGTACTGTCTGCAGCACATGTAGCAGAGCTGAGCAGACAGTGGTGCAGAGTCAGGCTTGGTTTTCATGTTGTTGACTATTTTGTGAAATATGCTGCTGGTATGTTTGAACAATGCCCCCATTATTTTTCCTTTTCAGTATAACTCTATAAACAATATAAACTATATAAACAATATCAGATAATGTCATCAAAATATATAAAATCAGTTGGGTTCAAGCTTAATTAGTAGTGATTTTACTCATTTATTCGAAGTATTCATGATTTTTATGGGATTAGGAAAAAATATTCTATAATTGCAAAAAAACTAACTACAAAGAAAGTGCACTGTGAATCTTTTTTTTTTTGTTTTGTTATCCAAATAGTGTATTCATTTAAAAATTGTGTCTGAATGTCAATACTAATCAGGAAGGAAGAAGAAACTGGTTTATGGGGATATTGAGCTGGGTGTGGCTGCACAACTCTGACCTAGAAAGGAAAAACTCATTTGAATGAAAAATAACACATGTAACTTAATATTTTCCTGGTTTGATGAAGGCCATGTGCTGCGAGTCTCCTCTAGTTTGACTCATTTGTTGTCTATGTTCTGCTCTTAAATGTAATGCAGATTAGAAACTTACAGGCTGACAGCTTGAAAATGCTCCTGAGCTGAGTGTCAGAGACTGCAAAGTTTTAACAAATACAGCTTTCACGCTTCCAACAGTTACAGCTTGTTACCACAAGGGGCCGCCATTGTGTGAAATTAAGACACACAATCTTATGCAGCGAATTGTAACGTCCACAACCCCTAGCTTCATAATACTAATCTGTAAACTGTACTCTTTATAACCGTTATTTATTCTGAGTAAATGAATGTAGTGCTTGCATGTCATAACGGCATAATGTGAATATCAGTGGCACGGCAGTCAGCAATGAAGGCGACCCAAAGAGACGCATTGAAAGTGACATTTATTGAACACTAAACATTTTCTGTACAATTTCATAACAACAAAATCCCCAAAGGTTGCAGCTCTACATCACATAGAAATAAGCATACTGGTCTGTAATCAAAGCCATGACAGAAATATAAAGTTAACTGGTGATTCCATTTGCTATTAATATAAAACAGAAACAACATCCTGCTTCACTTGGTTGTTTACGTGACTGAATAGAATGATGGGAACTTCCTCTGGGCTTTATTGGTTATGTTTCTAAAAGTGCACCTGCATACAACATTCTTTGATATAGTTGATACCCACAAGATAGCTAACTTCTTACACAGGATGAAGAATTTTCTTAGAAAAAAAAAAACAAAAACACTTCCCTATCCATTAAATCTTAAGGCAAAACCCCACCTGGAAGTGGAATTTAAGTTATTTTTATGCTCTTAGATAATGTGATCCAAATGTCAGAGTGAGCTCATTAACAGCTGGAGTCCAGACAGCCAACACTCTCTTCTATAATCACAGAGCTTCTCCAATGACATTGAACGGGATGTTGAGTGGCTCCCTGAGGAGTCACGGAGAGGTCACACAGTTACATCGAAATGAATGAAATGTTTTAAATTAAGGACATGGAACAGGAAATGTGCTCATACACCCATAAAACATCTTGATTTGATGTGATTTGACTTATTATCAGAGTCCTCAGCTATCACTGTCCAAAAATTCAGCATCCCCTCGCTGTCAACAGAGCAGCTCCAGGGTTTGTCACTTGACATTTGTGGTCATCCAGTTTCTGGCTGTTTCTGCTCGTCTATGTTTAAAAAAATGCTTCTAAGACCAAAATCTGTAACTTGAATTCTGCTTCCGTGCTGGATGGTTTCACCCGATTTAATGTATAACAAAAACATTTAACAGGCAAACTCTTGCAATTTTGGTGTGTTCCACTGACACTGTGTTTGAATCACAAGCGAGTATGTTTTACTATGACAATGCCCCTTCATGAACAGTTTCTAATGGCTGAGAAGCTGCAGACTACACTGCCCTCTCCTGGCAAAAAAAAAAAAAAAACAGGCAACACCTCCTAAAGCCAACAGGTGAGTGAAGCACAGCATGTGGTAATGCAGATATTAGCATTCTGCTGAATGAAAGCTTGCTTTTTAAGTGTACGCAGTATCTAAAAACAGCCTAATAGAACCATGACGTGAGATTAGTGCAGATTACAAAGTGTGCTGCATGCTATGGCAAGTCTACAGAGTGTTGTACTAATTAATACCTGCTGGCTTCGAGTGTCGCCAACATGAAACTCTCCCTATTTATTGTCGTTAAGGGCAGATGCATGCTCATATGCTACCATCAAATGATATAAGGCATTACTCATACATTACAGACAGATGTAAATAGCACTTAACATTCGCCACTAATGAGTACATTGAGGGACTATTATCATTAACCTTTAACTCCATTAATAAAGTTTCAAAACAAAATAAAACAAGTGATATAATTCCTGAATATCTTATTGTCTTGAGTCGTCGTCATCGTCTAGAACTTGTCGATTTCTGGTCAAGTGTCTTCGCTTTAGTTTCAAACTCTTCTTCTTCTTTATGTCCTGTTCTTCCACATCCTGAGTTTGTGTCATAGGAAGATGTACAAATCACATTTAGAAATGTCTTTAGGTGTAACTCGGAAATGTCATTTATTTATCTCCCTAAGTTATTAAAGTATTGAGTGTTGATCCACTAAAAATGGATTCTGCTTGATTTGACGCTCACAGAATTACTAATACTGACTAAAATATTTTCACAGAAATATAATTTTAAGCACTTTAATCTAATTTGATCAATACAATATGCAAGCATATAAGCACAAACATGCCAACAAAGCAATCAGTTTTCTCTTTCAGTTGTACAACAGCTCGAGTTCCTTATTAGTGACTCACGACATGATTTTAATATTTAGCTGTTAAACCGCTCAGGAAGCAGCTCAAAGAGGCTGCCCTAAATGTTGTCGTGCTGTGTGGTACGTAGCGACAACGCTCGCATGGTGTTCAGGTGACACGTGAAGCAGCAGGTTTCATGAACTACTTCGAGCTGTGTGAAATGTCCTTAATGTTTTTTGTGGCACGCAGCTGTAGATTTAGGTCAGCAAGAGTGGCTGAGTTAAATGTTCAAATGCTACAGCAAAGCGTAACATTCAGCCTATTGTTAGTCAGTCTAAAACAGACTGAGAGAGTCAGTGGTCAGTGATGATGAGCCTGACTGACTTACTTACAAAAGAACACTTGGTAAGCAACACTTTTTACAACATTAAGTCCCGCTTTTGTCTCACTCTCATCTGTCATTGTGACTGGAGTAAAGTGTGCAACATGACTTACCTCTAATAGATGAAGAGTACCCTTGTTCGTGGAAGAGTGGCATAAGTGGGATCAGCCAATTTACGCACTCTGGAGTAGTTAACGAATCCTCTGATGAACAGCATGAAGCCTGGAGTCCAAAGAAAAAAACACAAAGAAATTAACAGAAGGCAATTAGAAAAACACAACTGGGGGGAATTATATGAAACACTACTTTATTTCTAATATGTGTGCCACTCACCCAGAGCCAGGAACACCCACCACAACCAGTACTGCCCGTCAAAGTAACCAGGGAAGTAGGTAGAAAACTGTAGAAACACAAGAAACAATGGCTGTAAGGAGCTGCTGAAATAAAGCATAAGATCCTACAAAGTTATCTTAGTTCCTGCTGTTGAACAGAACCACAATAACTCGGCTGAACTGGTTGTACCACATATTCGGTAAGCAGCTCTCACCCTGACGATGAGAACCCATTTGATGAGGGACAGACCGAAGCCTGAGATGGCGCCATATCGACCGGCGGCTGATGTGGTCAAACAGAATGACAAGAAGAAGCCAATCCAGTTGAAGAGGAATGCCACTGGTGACAGAGAGGCAGCAATTAATAAAAGAAAGCAAAACATTTTGTTCTTGTTCTATGTGTGCAAACATTGCGTTGGCATTTGCACCAAATACAGCATTATGAGCTTTAAACATTAAAAATAGTAAACCTGAGCATATATTTAAAAGCAACTGCACAAACAAAATATGAAATGAAGAGCGAGTGCAGCTTGTTCAAGTTCAGTTCCTATCTTTAGACATAAATATTTAAGTTTATGACACCAGCCAACTGTTGAAATGCTGAAGTGTTTCTTACTGAAGAAAGTGAGCATGAAGATGCCGTCATTTCCTATTCGCAGCTGGTCAACATCTTCAAAGTCATCTCTGGCCACAAAGTCTTCCTCCTGCAAGAAATATGCACATGATTTACAATATCTATTTTCTCTGGGTTTGCTTTATTGTTTTCTGCAGGACAACACCCAAGGCCATCGGAAATTATTTCAGAACGAGACGAGTACCGTGACTCTTCCGGTGACCAGGGGGATGGCAGCCTCTGCTTTGCTTCTCTCAGCTTCATCATAGGAGGGCAAAGTGGTGGCAACATTGTAGGATGGAGGGTTGGGGAATCTTCCTCCATCTTCTTTGTATTCAAAGAAAGCTGTGGATGGAACAAGCAAATGACTAGTCATCTTAAAAACAGGGGTCTTTCCTGAAACAAACTCCTTTCACTGTAATAAATACATCCCTAAGAACAGGTAACATTCTGTAAAAAAAAAAACCTTAAAAAGACTTACTTTTACACTTTCCAACTATAGCAAATGTGTTAATATCAATTTGTTATTTTTTTAAATCATTATTTGTTCATCTTTAAAAAGAGAAAAACAGTTTTCAGAAGCCCAAAATGTGACATCTTAAAACAAAAGATCAAAAATCAACAACTACCATCACACTGAGGTAAGGTTAATCATCTGAAAACAACGCTTGTCTCCAGAAGCTGCTGTCTTTGAGTAGAATTTATTTTGCTAATGTAATCCTAGCTGTCTTTTTCTTTGAGCTCAAGAGTGGCCAAACCACTCTCCCTCTGTATTCACAATTCAAATTCTCTGTGAACCGACTTGTATCTGGTCATCCTCGATTAATTTCTAAAGATATTCTTGCTGCTGTTTCTCACAAGTTTTTCTTGATTTTACCCACAGTTCTGCAACTCTGACTGTAAAGTCACAGGTTTTCCATTTTTGAACTTTGTGACAGTACAGACAATTGAGTTTTTGTTTGCTGATTTGATGAACAGAGTGCAAACAAGCAACCCTGGCCTTTCTCTCTGAGCTTAAATCACTGGTTGTTGCTATTTTTGCAGATGATTTTATGTAAGTCCATTACCATCAAGTACACACACTTAAAGAGTAATTATGGCTGTAGTTCATCACATTAATGATGGAAATGGTTCTCGCTGTGTGACTATCACAGCTTGCTCAAACATTTCTTGCTGGAATTTAGAGGTCTATGTTCATGCTTTCATAAGTGACAACCGACTTTTTCGGAAATATTTTGCTTGGGGTTGTGCTAAATTTAACTTTGTATGGCGCAACGTTAGTTTATCTAAACAAAGCAAACTCCCACAAGATTAACTGCCCAAATACTTCTGAGGCCACTATAAACTGAACTCCCGTTTATGGCATATATCTAAAATCTCTACGTCATCTCCACAAACAGGCAGACAGGGTCATAGGTGGCATAAAGCCTATCTATGAAAAGGACAAAAAATAAATAAATAAAACTTTGAATGACGTAAGAAATCAAAATTTTATCTGAAGAATGTTGCAGAAACTGAAAGCCAGACACTTTTGAATCATTTACCAGCTGTTACAAAGGTTTGACTGCTGACAAGCAAAAAAAAAATCTTCTTTCACTTCTGTCAAAAGAAAAAAGAAAGCAGCAGCTGAGAGCTTGAAAACCCAGAGCAGGGCCGGGATGAGTTACAACAGGAAGAGAGCCATTAGCGATGTATGCGTCCATTACTGTTTATGTTCGTCTCCCTATACAAGCTGAGAACTTTATCTGGGTCATTTGGCTGAGATCCAGGAACCCTCCTTTGAGGTGTTCGAACACTAATAGCACTGAAACAGATCAATGGACTCATCTAGGAAGAGCTAAATGCTGCGCCCACTTATGCAACACATTGACCTATGCCCTCCTCAAGAAGTGAGATTAGAAACATGAGACCTTCCTTTAACACACAGGCTGTTCTGCTTTACAACGTAGATTCTAACAGTTCAGGGTAAAGAAAGAGGATTGCCAAAACTACGAACATTTATTCATGTAGTTAAGCACAGTTGAATTATAAGACATCTGTGCTGAAGTTCATTTTATGGGATTTCACTGGGAAATAGTCTTTCTGTTGTTTCAAATGTCTGTCTGATGGGTAGTTAGCTTTTACTTTTTAGAGTGAAAACACAAGATGCACTCATAAAATCTGTTTAAAGTCTAAATTCATTGCCAATATGCATCGCTATCAAAACAGCTTTAACATTTAAATGCTCTGCACAGGTTGATGGACAGGGATAATGAAGGAGGTGACTGTTCTTCACAAAAGCAAGACACAGCTGACAGATACAGCTCATATACGGTTCATAATAATACAACACTGTGAAAACAAGTGTTGTTCACAGCGCTTACTTTCTTATTTATTTCTACACTCTTACTGCTTATAGATGCAAGACTTTCACTTTTAACGGAGAATTAGTACTTAGTGGCACTAACTCTTGAATTTAAATGATTAAAAACTGAGTCCACTGACAGTGTGTGACAAAGTTGTTAAGCTTCCTAACCTGCATTTGCTGCAGCAATGCTGCTGTAGGGAGGTGGTGCATCCTGGGCCGGACCCTCCTGGGAAGGTTGAGCCGGCTCCTCCTCATTTACCAGCTGCAGAAATGGGAATAAAAGACAACAACAACAAGGGTCACACTTAAATACATCATTTAGGAAGACGTGATGGCTTTGACTAATGACTGACTGAAAAATGATGAGTGTGGAAGTTAGAAAGAGGAACAATACTGCCATCACTCATAGTCAATCTACAAGTAGGGGCAGGAAAAATTATATGAACAATACTGTGAGATGGCAGATATTTGCCAAATTTTTAATATTACAGCAGCTAGCCAGGGAAAATTACTTTAAGACTATTTGACATTTGCAATTCATTAAAAACGCTGCTGCAAGAATACCAACAAACTCCAAGAAGAGAGAACACATTACTCCAATTCTTAGATCCCTGCGTTGGCTTCTAGTTAAATATAGAATTAAATTTAAGGCTCTAATTATTGTTTATAAGTCTCCCACTGGCCTGTCCCAAAATATATTAGAGATATGTTTGCTTAGCCTGGAAGGTCTCTAAGATCTGCAGGGACTGTTCAGTTTGCGGTGCCCAGAGTTCAGACCAGACATGGTGAAATAGTTTAGTCATTATGCTGCCTGCTGCTGGAACCAGCTCCGCTTGGATTTATCCCAACGGTAGCCTTTTTTAGCAGAAAAAAACAGCTGTTTTTTCTGCTGCTTTTAATCATTCAGTTTTGTTTTTAAAGTCACGTCTCAAGTGCCTGTACTTTTATTAAACTTGTCAGCACTTTCGTTCACTTAATTTTTATCCGTTCTTTTTTTAATCATGTTGTATACTTCCTCTTTTACATACTTGTATTTTTTCAAGTGTCATGAAGTATTTTAAAACATGTATGGGCATTACATCCAACTTGTCTGTACTGTTGTTGCTTTTATTTATTATCGTCTGCTGTATTTTGTACAGTATGTTTTACATGGTTTAATTATAAACCTCTGCCTGTGACGTATTTTGAATAATCTCCGTGTTAATGATAAGGTGCAGTATAAATAAAAGTGCTGGCTTGGTTGTATTGGGCCATTTCAGACAGTTATGTAAGCCGTTTAACAGGATTGCTTTATGGAAGCACTGCATCCACAGGACGTTGATTGAAGTTTCTTGTCAGGCATAACACAGACAGGAAGATCTGTTAATAAACATGCAGCACTTTCTCATGCATGTAACATAAATAACCTCTGAACGACACTTACATACATACACTTTAAAATGTCACTCAGAATTTCACATATCACCTGCAAGTCAGTTTATGTCAGTAGCTGAGCAGACAGCACTTGTGCATTTCGCTCCTCTTCATTGTCTGGGGTTTCGGTTACTGACAGGGAGGACTGGTCAGTGATCCTGGACGGTCAGATACTGTGACAGAGACTTTGCTCTCAGGCCAGTTAATACCAGCTAACCTTAACCCAACTCGCAGCTAAAACGAAACCGGCTAACGCAGGCTTCAGACTAACTGAGACGAAGATACACGTATATGTTTAAAAGTCAGAAAATTTCGCTTTGACACACGCTTTAAATATTTATCGCCACGTCGGTCCCGCCCGTAAACAAACGTCGGTGGAGCTCGTTGTGTTGCTGTCGGTGGCAGGCTAATGTTGACTGTAGTGTTAGCCGACTGCTAGCCGTTAGCTACATTTTTTTTAGCGTGCCAGCAACCTGTTACCTACCTCCTGATATCTGACGTTGCTGTTTTGTTCCGCCATTGTGGAAGAGGAACGAAGTGTCTAAAACGTCCTCTTCCTACTTCAGCCGTGAAAATGTCTTATATTAGAGGTATCTCGCCGACGAAGTAGCACAGATATCAGTGTCTCCTAGTCGGCCATCTCCTTCCTTCTCCCCCCTCCTGACTCTAGATCACGGTGGCTCTGGTGCTGCCTTCACGTGCCGTAGGAAACTTGACACTCCTTGTAAAATTTACCAGTTGCGAGCGAAAGTTCCGCGATAAAAGTAATATGTAGGTTTAAAAAAATAAAACAGACAAATATAATGGCAAACTCCACGCCATGTATCAACAGTAAACATTTTAAAGAATGACTCCCTCAAATAATTGTCATATTTTATAATTATTACTAATAATCAAGCAGTTTTTTTCTTTTTGATTGACGAACTTCATCAAGGGATTTTACATGTAATATCTATAAGAGTGCAAAAAAACAACATTAAGTAAAATTATAAGACACAATAAATCGATATACTCTAGAATGTACCTCAAAAGGGTGTTGGGCAATTTTATACTTCCATGGCTTGTGCACAGTACTTGAGCAAATGTACCGTTTTCTGCAAAAATCTGAACGCTTCCGAGGAGTACCTGAAGGCAACATGAGTTGTTCCGTGTTGTCATGTGATTGGAAGCACCGACTGAAAAACCACAGTACTGACACACTACACGAAGACAATGTGTACAAATCAAGCTCACTTTATTACAAAGAACAAATGAGAATGAAAGCTGTGTAAACAATCACTTGAAAACCTGACAGCCTGCACTAGACCAGCACCTAATTATGTCTACGAAGATTAGTTGTGGGTAACTCCAAGCACTGCTTGACCTCCACCAGATAATAAAGGAACCATTGGAGTGTAAATTCTTAAAAAACAAAAGAAAAACAAAAAAACAAAAAAGCCTTGAGAATCCACGTATCTTGTAAGAGATCCCATCAGTTCTTCTTAGGCTCTGGTGGAATTGACTCTACCAGCTTGTTGTGCACATGCATCATCCCTATGGAAAGAACAAGACTCAGCATGTTTTCAGTGATTCATTTAGCAAATGTTTTCTCTTAATGTCTGTAGATTCTCAGTCAGCCAGGTCATGGAAATTCTCAGAGTTGCAGTAGAATGCAGCTGGACTTTTCTTTTTTGGTTCTTAAAGACATTTTACCACTCGTCCAAGAGGCTTTTCAGTTTTATTTCAGTTCAGGCTCAGAACTGAGGAAGCCTCTTGGATGAAAGCTAAAATGTCTTTACAAAACTAAAACAGAAGTTCAGTCACATTCTGCTAGAGCTTGGAGGTTTTTTCTTCATGCAACCGTGGCTGCAATTTATGAATATATTAAGTTTATGCCTTGTAAGCAAAGTTGCGATGTGATTTAGTCTCACCTTTGAAGTACTTCACAGTTTTGACCCGCAGCTCCAGGGTGGCATCTTCATCGCATACGAAAACGGTCTGCCGGTGCTGCTGGAACGCAGACACTGTCCACATGTGATTCACACCTTCCTCTATAGCTTTGTACAAAGCAAAGGCCTTATGCGCTCCAGTGATGAGAATCATGACCTGAGAAGAAATTGAAAATGTGACCTGTAGCCTGTGTGACTGAGCCACTTGCTGTTAGTGTTTATTTGCTGCATCAGGAAGATGAAAAGATCACTGAGCAATGCACTGATCTGTAAGTCAGCAGAGTCTGGTCAGAAAGTAACCTTTCCTTATATATGGTATCTTTGTGACTGAGCAGAACACAAAGAAACAGAACAACACAAAGAAACTGGACACCAGGCTCCTAACCTCTTTTGCATCCATGACAGTTCCCACTCCCACAGTCAGCGCCATGGTGGGAACCTTTGCGAGATCGCCATCAAAGAACCGAGCATTAGCTATGATTGTGTCCTTTGCCAGCGTCTTAACCCTTGTCCTGGAAACCAGGCTTGAACCAGGCTCATTAAAAGCAATGTGGCCATCGGGTCCAATACCTGAGACAGGGCAGGAGGAGTGGTTTTAATTACAATATTGATTCAATCAATAAATAGGACAGCAAGACAGAGCACTGATCTGACATGTATAGTAACTGTTACTGGTTACAGTATTTTCACTCAAAGCCCTCCTGACCTCCGACAAACAGCTCAATCCCCCCGGCAGCAGTTATCTTATCCTCAAAGGCTTCACACTCCGTTTGCAGGTCGGCTGCGTTGCCATCAAGGATGTGGGCGTTCTCTGCTTTTATGTCTATGTGCTTGAAGAAGTTGTTCCACATGAAGGAGTGGTAGCTCTCAGGGTGATCTCTGGGAAGGCCTGTAAAGGAGTTGATCGAAGTTTGTTGTGCAAGATCGCAGCTTTCAAGAATTTATCAGTGTAAAGATTGACAAATACTTACCAACATATTCATCCATGTTGAAAGTCTTCACATACTGGAATGAGACATCTCCATTCTTGTAGTACTCAATCAGTTTCTTGTAACAACCTAAAGGAGTGCTTCCTGAAGACAGGTTAAACAAAAAAGCTGTTAAAGCAACAGAGTAGAACGTAACAGTTGATTTGTATGCAGTAACTATACTTCTGCCTCCGGTTTGGGACAGTATTTGAGACTTGTAATATAATATATTAAACTCATAAGATGGCTGCAATCCCTCTCTGCAATGTAACATTTGAATGTAAAACACATAATCTAAAAATCAGGTGTATATGAACTTGAAAATCCACCTGCATGGAAAAATGAGACAAACTGTGAATAGTTTTTACAGGCGAGTGGTTTTAGCTCCAGACCTGGCCTAATGTGATCAGAACGTAAAAGTAAAAATCCCTCCATTGCATATTCATAAATATAATAAAGGTTTCACAAATCACAAATTGTGTTTTACGCAGTCTGTCGCCTCTTCAGGGACAATCCAGTCCAGATGTGACCAGTCCGTACATAGTGATTTTAGATTAAGACCTGATCTAATGTGGTCCATATGCAAAAAATAACAGCAGTACAATCTCCCCTTTTTTGCATTTTTGCAAATAAAATAAAACGTTTCACAAATCAGAGCCTGTGTTTAAAGAATCTTTAGTCTCTCCAGCGACAATCTAGTCCAGATGACCCATTAAAGTACAGTGTTTTTAGATCTGGATCTGTTCTAATGTGGTCCACATGTGAAAAAGTTGCAAAATTGTTCTCTTTTTTTAACACGTTTATGAATATAATGAAGGTTTCACTAATCAGAGATTGTGTTTCAAAAACTCTTCAGCCTCTGTAGGAGTACGCAATCCAGATTTGACACTCTACATATAGTGAGTTTTGACCCTAATGTGGTCCAGATTTGGGGAGAAAAACCTCCCTTTTTGGGGGGATTTTTACAAATATGCAAGACACATAATGTCAGAATCTGAAACTCCAGTGTATGTATACTTCCCAGTCTGCATGGAGAAATGAGAAACTATAAGTAGCTTTTACAGATTTAAGTGGAGTTTTGTTCTTTTTGGTGAAATTGCAGTAATCCTCTTTTCAATGTTTATAAGCAAACTCTAATTTGTCCATTAAGGGATTAAAAAGTTTTCCATTAAGGGATTACTCAACACTTTTCCCTCACACTGAGTCAGCAGATATGGGCGGAAACATGTGACGAGAAAGAACTAGTTTACTGAAATGGTAATAAAGATGAATACGACTGCATATGGCTGCTGCTTTCTCTTACCTGTGGGGAGTCCCAGGGTGAAGTATTTCTTGGGTCCAGGTTTGAACAGTAAAATCTTGTTTCTGATGTACTTTGCAGCCCACTCGCTCGCCTGGTCGTAGTCATTGAGGATGATCAGCTTCATGGTGCTGGAAGAAAAGGAAAAGTAAAAGAAAGACAGACGGTTTGCTTGTCTGAATGGGTTTATATAGCACACCTAAATGAGACTTTAGACTCATTAAGATAACCAGATCATCCAGAAACAGTAAAACAGACGCACTGTTAGGACACACGCTCGGAAATTCACTCACAGCTTTAACCCAGCCGCACAACGTCAGCACAACTTGTGTTGCTTTCCTGAAAAAGATAGACAAAAAAGTACTTAATGCAGTCAGCTGTTACCTCAGTCTACCTGCAGCTTTTAGTCGGAGCAGACAGGATCTGGACGGATCATGTGACTTTTGCTTTTGGACGCAAACAGCGAACGAAGCGGAAGTTAGATTCTGCTTCAACAGTTAAGGGGAAAGTTAAGGGGAACTTAAGTTACAGCACGCGGTTCTCTGTGTTTTTACACATTTTAACAATTTAAAGCGTTCAGGGTAAACCTTTAGTGCTGCCTGAAACCCATTTCATTTGTGAAACGTTTTTTTCTACATGTGAATATGCAAAAAAAAAAAAAAAAAAATTAATCAGAATCAAAAATACTTGATTGATCCCCTAAGGGAAATTGTTGTCGGTTACAGATGCCCCCAATCAAAAGTCTTAAAAGAAGTAGAAAAGTAAAAATATATAATAAACATATAAACATAAGTATTAATATGAAATGAAAAATTTCTAAACACAAAAAATAAGTATACATTCTGCTCTTGTATGTGTATATACAGAGCAATAATAATACTACCATTGGGATTTTTGCACACAGAATGGTTATTGCACATTATTAGAAAGTCCAAAGTCCAAGGTAAACCTAATCACTCAGTGTCTGACACTCATAGTGAAAGTTTGTACAATCTCATGACCACAGGCAGGAAAGATTTCCTGTGGCGCTCTGTGATGCATTTTGGTGAAATCAGTCTTGTACTGAAAGTACTCCAGTAGCTGACCAGCACATCATGGAGTGGGTGTGACACATTGTCCAAGATGACAGGCAGCTTGGACAGCATCCTCCTCTCCGACACCTTCGTCAGAGAGTCCAGCTTCACTCCCACAACGCCACTGGCCCTGCAAATCAGTCTGTTCAGTCTGTTGGTGTCAGCTACCCTCAGATTGCTGCTCCAGCACACCACAGCTCACAGGATAGCACTGGCTACCACAGACTCATAAAACATCCTGAGCATAGTCCGGCAAATGGTAAAGGACCTGAGTCGCCTCAGAAAATAGAGACGACTCTGGCCCTTCCTGTAGAGTGCGTCAGTGTTCTTTGCCCAGTCCAGTTTATTATCACTGTGGACTCCTAGATACTTTACACACTTGAGCCACATTAAACCATGTCGAGATCTAAAACTACGTTATAGAAACTGACCAAATCTAAATTGGATTATGCCAGAGAAGCCAAACTGTCTTTATAACACAGTTTACAAAATAGTTTCACAAATCAGAGACTGTTTAAAAGAATCATTAGTCTTTCAGGGACAATCCAGTTCAGATATGACCAGTCTATATATTGTAACTTTGAATCTGGACCTGGTCTAATATGTTCTACATGTGAATAAAAACCAGTGCAATCTCCCTGTTTTTATACTTTTACAAATATAACCAAGGTTTTCTATGTCAGAGACTCTGTTTAGTCCAGATCTGAGCGATCATAGAGTGGTTTTAGAACTTGGTCTGGTCTAATGAGATGTAAGAAATGTGAATTATTATTGTCATTATGATTATCCATCTAAATTTTGTGATTTAAGATCTGGACCTGGCCTAATGGGATCCACATGAGGAAAAAAAAAAGCAGGGAAATCTTTTTCTGTTTTAACATGTTAATTAATATAATGAATCAAAGACTGTTTTACAGACTCTTTGCCTCTGTAGGACAACATAGTCCAGATTTGACCCATCTATAGATATTGAGTTTTGACCCTAATGTGTTTCAGATTCAGGGAGGAAAAGTGCATGTCCCTTTTTGGCATTTTTGCAACTATGCAAAACATATAATGTCAAAAACCAAAAAATCTGGGTACAATCTGCATGGAGAAATGAGGAACTAACAGGAACTAACGGCCACAGTGCATTCTCTGCCGTCTCCTTCAGCTTGGTCAGCAGCATGGCAGTGACCTGTTCGATGCTGAACACCTTCTCCTCCTCCATGTACATGACCTTTAGCATCAATCACAAGGACGATTATGACATTGTTCTACATGACTTCTAGTGTTTCAGCTCAAAATCAGTGTGTGTGTGAATATCAATGGGCGCATGAAACGTACATAATCTAATCTAAATCTAACTCAGGCTATGGCTAAATGTAATATAATGTAATCTAATGAATAATTCTAATCATACATCAGCATAGTTTGTGTTATGTAATATTATCTATAACCAGCATTTCAGTCATTTTTTCCTTTCACTTCCACTATTATCAGACTTGTATTTTGAACTTTTTTCTGAGTACAGCTTGTGATGACACAGACATTTCACAACTCTGTACATGTGCACGTACAGCATAAAAAGCTGCTCAGCTATATGCTTTTAGTGGCTGTCTGCATTAAATGCTTCATAAATTTGAGAGTGTGTTTCAGACAACATTAAGGGGTTGTGTAAAAAGCCTAAAAGAGATGTGCATTGTTTAAATGTGGGGGAAACTGAGACTTGGTTGCTGTAAATTAAATTTCCCTTAACTTTAGGCCCTTAACTCTCGAATCACAGGCTAACTTCAGCCTCGTGCTAACTGCGGAGGTGACGTTCACTCATGAAGCTAACTAGCGTTAGCTCTGAAGCTAACTAAGCGGCTCTTTGAGTGGAGGAATGAGAGCACAAAACGTCGCTGCACTCTTCAGGCCCCTTTAAATGATGAAGACTGCTCTGTCCGAAGGCTTACAGCTTTTAGACGTATGTCTCAGTACATACATGAATAATGCCAGCAAGTTTGAGCGGTTATTTAAAAGGTTTCTTACCCATAAACTCTTTGTTTTCACCCCAAAGTCAGACTCAGGTTGCTAAGCGACAACAAAGGAGCACATCTCCAGTAAACAGTCCAGGACCTTCACCTGAGATCTTGTTTCGATATGATGACATGTTGATTATGACATAGCTTAGGTCGGCCTTTAGATTTTAACCTGATGATTGCAGCATTTTTTAAGTTATTTCAGAGTAAAATGTAGTAGAATAAGTGACAGACGTGTCTTCCCACCTTCTCCTTATGCCTAGCCCATAGAATTAGTGGAGTTAGTCTAATTTATGAAGATTTACAGAGTTGTCATAAAATGTAAAGGTGTGCCTTGCAAATACTAGTTTTCATAAATTTTATTTAGTTCTTATTTGGTCAACTGAACCTTTAAATAGCCAAAGAGATGAAGGTGAGGGGAAAAGGAACCAAGTTAAATAAGTAATAATCACATTGAATCTGCTGTCAGTATGATCAGCTGACAAAAACATCTGTCTGAGGCTTAATGATAACTTCGCCTAAGCACAGAAAGATGGGTCAAACATATACACACAGAATTGTGTGGTTCAGATTTGTTCCTCAGGTTCATGATGGAGTTTAAGTGTAAAGCCTTAATTCTATCCAGATTTAGCCACTTATTCACCATTTTTGATGTGTTTGGGGTCATTGTCTTGTGCTAACACAGAGACAGATAACCATGCACACACATTCACAATTTAGAATCACCAATTATCCAATTAACACAAACTCATGCAAGCACAGGGAGTAAATGCAAACTGAAGATTGAGCTGTGAGGTGACAGCCGCTTCTCTCAATTCTCAACGTAGACATCGACTGAATTTCAGCAGAAACTCAAAGAACCTACTCAGAAAAGCTCATTTAATGCAGAACTTGTACAAGAGCTGCCAAAAACTGTCACCTCCCGGAGCATCTGGTTCTGTGGGTACCGAATGGAGCTGGTGAGCAAACAAGAACTGAACTGATTCTCTGGCAGACAAAAAAAAATAAAACCCTATTACTGCTCGCTGCTGCACTGCCAGACAAAAGTAATAAAGATGGCCCAAGTGATTTTCAATAACTTTATTAAAACCATATTGTGACACAGACCAGAACACTTACAGAGCACACAACAGAAATAAATACCATCATGTGTACAGCGCTCATTGTCAAACAGAATTATTGCAGCTGGCTTTTGATTTATGTCATCCAGAAAGAGAGAGGGCATGCTATGTCATCAGACAGAGATACCACCAGGAGCTGGGCTCAGGGTGCTAAACACCCTGCCTGCTTTTTGACTGTGTAGTGCAGTTCCCGAAACACTTGACCGGCTCTGTTATACAGCCAGGCTGCATCTCAATCTGAAACAATCGGCTCCCGTTCAGCTTTGCTTCAGGGGGCATTAGGCTGCTTTAATCAAGGTCCATCTCGGGCTTGTTTTCTGTGGTTTCTGAGGTGGGGTTGCCTGTGTTCTCGGTCGTGCCCTTGTCTGCAGTTTCTTCCTGGGGTTTCTCCTGTCCGTTCACAGGCCCGTTCTGCTCTGCAGGCGTGTCCTCTTTGGGAAGTTCCACCTTGGGCTTGGGCTTGGTCACGATGGGGTTGCAAGCAGAGAACAGCTCCTGGAAGTTGACAAAAAGAAAACGACATGAAGGAATGGTTGTATTCTAAGAAAAGCTGACCTTTCCCAATAAATAATTACAGTACAGGCATCAACATTAACACACACAGAACACTACAGAATATGAATAACTGAAGCCATCCAATTCACAATGTAGAACAACCTCCGAGGGATTTATCTGGACGACATCAATAGCTGCAAAAAGATCTGTTTGGACTCTGCAGAAATCCTGTTTACTGCATGAGCACACAAAGCTAGTTCACCTTAGATAATACTTGTGATTAATTTTACAACAGCAGTCCAATTTAACAATGGCAACAACACACATACACTATTCAAATATACTATTATTAATCTCCACGTTGAATTCACTGCATTCCAGTTACACCGCTTAAGAAGCATGCACACACACTCTTACCCTTGTTTTTGCTTTGATGTCTTTGATTTTGATGGAGGGATCCATAGTCAGGCTCTGCTTGCTTTGCTGGTTCATGGAGCTGTTCATCCAGATCATTGCATCGCTGGCCAGCTTGTCCACTTTGGTGACATCGGCCTCATCTAAGTGGTCATATTGCTCCTCCTGGAAATCACAAGGAAGCCGCAAACATACTGTTACCAGGCAACATTTGTTTTATTAATAATGGTGTGTTTATTTTTAAGGTGGTATAAAAGCCAACAGGAATGATCCAGATCACGAGTATTCTAATGCACAAGCTCAGAAGACGTGACAGAGAGAGAAATGTATTTTCACCTTCATTTTGTAGGCTTCGACAAACTTCATGTACTGTTGGATTTGCTTTCCCAGCTCCTCAAAAGCTTTTGGTCTCTCCTCAGCCTCTGTGTACCTCTCCTGGATGGGCTGCCCGAGTTGCTATAAGATCACGAAGAACACGTCAGCTGAACAGATCAAACCGTCAACAAATCAAAAGGTGGAAATAAAGTTTCAAAGCACTCATTTACCTTTAACTCTGCCAGTTTGTCGATGTACACCTGCTTGGGCTGGTCCTCTCCGTCTTCGTACAGCCAGTTTTCAGTGTCCTCCAGCTTTAATGACAAAGCATCTCGGTCCTGCAAGAAGAGAAATATTATGACAATATGTGATTAAAGCTGAATCTGCTGTAGAGTGATTTTAAATTTTCTTTGTTTAAAATGAATCAGAAGTGATTGTTTACTCACAGATTCGCTGACAAACTTCTCCAGCATCCCGTGTAGTTTGTCCCTCATGTCGTACACGTACTCCTCTACGTTGTTCTTGGCGTCATTCCTCTCTTTCTCCAGCTTGTCCTGCATGATCATCTTACCCTGAGGAGAGTCCAAACAGCAGCTGTCAGTGCTGAGCAAGGCGGCATGGTGTGATGGCAGGATTTAATAACGTCAAAATTGAGTTACCTCGTTTTCTACAAAGAGATTGAGCATGTCGTCTGCTAGCTGCCACTGTGGACTGTTCTCAATCGGAAGCTCCAGCACTTTTGTTTTGACTTTGGGCTTTTTGGCTTGTGGGGGCTGGTCGGACTTCTTCTCGCTTTTGCTCTCCTCTGTGGTAGTCTGAAAAGGTCAGAGAAGATTCAAAATATCACAGATATATAAATATCTACTTCAAAGCTTCTGAAAGTCCAGATCTCGGTCCATACAGAGCGAATTGTAAGTCAATCCAGACCCAACTCGTATCTCGCTTTATGAATATGTTATGAAGTGTGATGTTTTCCATTTTGTAATATATTTTCTATGGATTAATACATTGGTAGTGATGCTGAATGTACTCAAGATGAGGATTTTAATGTGGCTTATTTCTCCATTATTGACATTGTTGTCATGGCGACGTTAACTGTTGCCACTGAGTTCAAGCATTAAAGTTACACCAGAGAATTTGCTATTAGCTTCTAAACTGCAGATACCGTATGTCTCGTTTTCTCCAGTATGTGAGAACATGTCAGAGTCGGCTGCGTCGGCGTCAGTTTTGCGGTGGCTCAGTCACAAGGGATGCAAAGTTTATGGTGTAATCAGGGGCCACACTGATGCAACTGATTACATTCCTCCCCCTTTCTCCCCCTGGGATCGGATGTATTTTGACTGTCTTGAACTTGAATAATGTTGATTAGAGCAGTTATCTGACCTTGGATTAAAAATCAGCTTGACAACCTTTGATCTACTTTATCTAACACACGAGCTCTGCATCAAACACATTCTGGTGAAACACAAAATTTCACTTTTGGATGTGAGATAGGGGCTGATTCACATCGTCATTTCTGAGGCTGTCGTCAGTGGCAAATGTTTGATCTCAATCACATACATAAGGATGAAAAACACATTACAGGTTTTTACAAATACAGCTGTTATTGTACTGAATCATACCGCCAAAGAAACTAATAACTCAACATATTTTACGAAATAATCAAGCATCCTACCTCCATCTCTTCATTCTCACGTGGTGTCTTCTCTTCTGTCTCTTTCTGAGCATCTCCCTGAGCCTGCTGCTCATCCTGATCGGTCTGCATCTTGCTCTGTAGAGAAGCCATAAAAGTCAGACACGTTTTTGTTTTTTGCTGCCGAAGCAGAAGTACAAATAGCAACACATGTCTCATGTTCAGCGTGAAAGTCGGAAACGTTATGGCTAAAGTACCTCTCCATCTTTGTCAGTGGCCTGTTCGGTTTCCATGGGTTCCTCTGTCTCATCAGACTTCTGCACTTCAACCAGGGAGGCGCTGGACACGCTGAAGATGCCATGAATGTTCACCCGCACCTTGACTTTCACCTTGGAGCTCTCCCCGGATGCCTGTGGGACGACCTTCTGGATCAGAAACTGACCTGGAAGAAGAAAAGGTGAAAAAAAATAAAAAAATTTGGGATTAAAAAAAGCAGCTTTAATGCAGCTTCTGGTGTTATTTATATTTGCAGGTGAAGTCAGTAAGAAGTCAGTCAAAAGGAGAGAGAATACTAGTAGGTAGACCAAAACATGACCAGACACTAAGCTCGCTCTGGGTTTTTTGGATATGTAGGTAACACATTAGGGACTTTGCTTTGATATCTTTCTACCTCTTAGCGGTTAGGAAACTTTAGTTTCTTACCAATAGTAGGATCAGGATAAGGCAGCTCATTAGGGCAATTGTAGTAGGCCTCCAAAGAGAAAGGCTCTTTCCGGTAGAAGGTCAGCACTTTGGAGAAAGGTGCTGCGTGGTTCTTAGGGAACACTTCACAATCACTGCAAGAAAGCAACACAAAGTTAGAATTACATTAAATACTAAAGATCTACGACTGTGAAAAAAGAAAGCTAACAAAAGCTTCTCTTTTTACCTCAGACCTTCCTCTGCAGCAGAGTGCCACTTCAGAGAGATGGGGTATGGAACGATGTCTGTGATGGAGAATTCACGCACTTTGAAGGCAGGAGACAGTATTGCACACTGTGGAGACATAAACATTGTTTTAATGAGAGCAGCAGTTAGGGAAAAAAAAGAAACAGTTTTCTTTCTTTTTCCACGCATAAACAGATGATAAAGTTTGTAGTGAAAAGGTAAGAAAAAAAAAACTTTTAACATCTAAGCACTATCTCCTGAAGAAGGGACAAGCTGCTACATGTGCCACAGTTTTTTTTTAATAGTCCAGCTACGACATGTCAATATAATAAAGACATTTTGATCTAAGGAGTGGCCTGGTTTGGAGAGATTTTTTTCTCTCCACTATTTTTTCCCCTTGAGCACCGAAACAAAAGCAACATGATGAGTTACATCTTTTTTTTTTTTTTTATTACAGAGCACATCACTTATACTAATACATGCAAACAAGTGCTCACTATCTGGTAAACTATGAGAGGGATGTAGACCAACTTTAAGGCCAAACTGCGATGTACCTGCAGAGCACATCCTCTCGCCACAGCTTCATCAGCATTCAGTGTAGTGTTCAGTTCCTTCCCGAAGAATTTGCTGATTCTCTCTTTGACAGCTGGAATCCTGGAAGCTCCACCGACTATCTCAACTGCATAGATGTCTTCCTTTTTCAGTTCTTATGGGAAAAAAAAGACACTCTGTCATAATGTCACACAGTATAAGTGCATTATGTTCCTGAATCAAGTCAACAGGAAGGAAAGGAATGCAAATAATAGATAAAACTCACTGGCATGTTCCAATAGAGCCTGCAGAGGGGGCTCTACTCGGGTCAAAATATCCGCACACATCTCTTCAAAGTGGCCCCTTGTGCGATAAAAAAAGGAAATGTGAATTCAGCTTTAAATGGGAATTTAAAACAACACACAGCAGATATGAACAATGAGCACAAAAAGCAGCACATGATTTCTTGTTCGTCTACCTGTTCAGTTTTCCAGTGACATCAACGTCGTTCATGAAGCACTCGATGTTAAGCGGCAGGTCAGACGAGTTGGCGCTCATCAGCTTTTTCAGTTTTTCACACTCCTGGTAGAGCCTGACCAGAGCCCTGGGCTTTGACTTGACGTCAAGCTTGTACTTCTTGCCAAATTCCTCACAGAAATGCTTGACCAGTACCTCGTCAAAGTCCTTCCCTCCCAGCTCTGGGTCACAGGCCGTGGCAAGGACCTGAGCAGCAGAGAGAAGAGGTCAACAGATAGTTGTGGGAAAGAAACTAAGAGAACTATAGACTGATAAAGCACGTGTGGTGTGATGATCTGGCCACTCACCTTAAGTTTGCCTTTATTAAAGGCACACACTGACGTCTGGTATCCAGAATGACCCAGGTCTACAAAGACCACATTCCTGGCCTTCTCCTCAGGAGCAGGGAGATCCTGTTTGTAGATTCCATACGCCAGTGCAACTGTAAGGAAAAGTGATGAATTATTAACAAAGAAAATAAGGAGTGGAATCAATTTTTAAGAGTGCTTTTTATGACAAATGTTAGTCCAAGCAGAGTCAGTGTGATGATCAGTAAGTGCGCTTCCTTGTACAGACCTGCAGTTGTCTCATTCATGAGCCTCAGGCAGTTGAGTCCAGCGATCTGAGCAGCATCTACCACAGATCTCCTCTCAGCATCAGTGTAGTAGCACGGAACCTGGGTACAAAACAAGAGCATTTGAAATGGATTTTTTTGGGACAATCATCCTGACTGATTAAAACTCCAGTCAGCTCAAAATGTAGGTGGAACCACACTGCCAATTATAGCTGCACTGTTGTTTGTAACAGAACAGCAGGGGCAGAGACACCCTCCTGAACGTCGTGCAGGTGGCTCTTTAGGTGAAGTGGCTGATCTTCATCATCGGATGATAATTGGAAGAAAGCAGCGCTCCTTGTTAAAGATGAGTTACCACACGATGAACCAGATATCAACTGGAATAATGCCATAGTCTAGCAACTCTGGAGGTTGGACATAAACTTATCATTTATTCATGTTAATCATCTCTTCGTAATCAATTATTAATACGTTTACTATTTTTTTGAGAAACAAAATACTGATTTCCAGGTTAAAGCTGACCACTACACACAGTGCAGTGATATGTGCAGATGTAACATAAGTAGGACTCCAGCCGTGATGAGGAATGTGGTTCCAGTCTGAAGAAGCTCAACATATGGAATGCAGATTTAGAGTTTCTGATATGGTCAAAAGAATTCCACTGGTTAAACTCGTCCAATCAATCAACACAAACCGGAAGGAAAACAGTTTTGTGTTCACTGTCACACTATAAATATGCTTTTTACTTCTCTGAGTGAGATGCTGAACAAATTCGGCCTTTCTCCCTGTTGCAAAATATTAAAAGTCCATCTTGTGTTTCTGAGATCATAAGAGTCACACAGGTTTTTCCACCACACATTATAAAGTCAAATGTGATATTATGTTAATTTTATTCAATCATGACATTGTGGCTTCCTGCGAAGCTACAATCAATTAAATTTTATCTTTAGATTCAGTGATACAGACTATGTTCACCAGTCTCTGCAGCTCCTTATTCTCTCAGACTTTCTCTGTTGTTTTTTTAACTTGCTGCACGAGCTGTCAATTCAAGACAGGTTTAAGGAGGCTGCGGTAATGAAAACACCTGTCTGGGTGGAGCAGGGGTGTGTAGGAGCTTAAGGGCGTCATACTTACAGAGACAACACAGTCGGCCACAGGCTTCTTCAGTGCATTCTCTGCCGTCTCCTTCAGCTTGGTCAGCAGCATGGCAGTGACCTGTTCGATGCTGAACACCTTCTCCTCCTCCATGTACATGACCTTTAGCAACAAGCACAAGGAAGATTATGACATTGTTCTACATGACTTCTAGTGTTTCAGCTCAAAATCAGTGTGTGTGTGAATATCAATGGGCTCATGAAACGTACATAATCTAATTTAAACCGAACTCAGGTTATGGCTAATATAATGTAATCTAATCAATAATTCTAATCATACATCAGCATAGTTTGTGTTATGTAGTACTAGCTATAGCCAGCATTTCAGTCATTTTTTCCTTTCACTTCCACTGTATTATCAGACCTGCATTTTGAACTTTATCTGAGTACAGCTTGTGATGACACAGACATTTCACAACTCTGCACATGTGCATGTCACAGGTGCAATAAAAAGCTGCTTAGCTATATGCTTTTAGTGGCTGTCTGCATTAAGGGCTAGTTTGAAAACTCAATGAATTCAGGAATAAGAAAATAAAACTACACTTAATGCTTTCAATACAAAAATATATTCAGGTCTGATGAATGAATGATAAACAATTCGAACAACAACAGTTCTAATAAACACTGAACACTACCTGCTGGTGTGACAGACTATATTTCATATCCAGTATGCTACTTTTATAGAGAACCAGATGTAATTAGTCTCCTTTTATTATTTTCACTGTGATGAGTCACTAGGAAGCTGAACTAGTCTGTGTTTTTAAACCCTTAATATGCCAAAGGTTTTTCTCTTTGCTCTACCTTAGAGCACCTGATTTTTTGTCATGGGCTGTTAATTACCAAGAACAGACAAATTTGAACAATTTATGGAAACCACTGGTATTACAGATCACTCAGAGTGAAAGCAGAGAGGAATTCTAATTAATTATGCAGTACATCCAGTGTGTTTGGGCTGTGAAAAGATTACTAAACATAACATTTCAATTTAACTGCCAGTGCTCTTCTCTTACCTTGATGCCTGTTGTTCCTGTAGGCATTTGTGCAATATCATAGACCAGGCTGTTTTTGAGGGACTGCACATAGGGATCTGAAAATGCCCTGCCATGAAACCTCTTGAAGCCTTGGACTGTGTTCTTGCAGTTTGTGACGACCTGTTTGTGAGATGAAAAAGAAAAGAACAATTCGATGAAAAGCATGCACACATATTGCAAATTGTGAATTTATGACTTGTTCTCTGTTAGTGCGTGATTTGATTTGTGTTGTAAGCGTGCACTATTGGAACACTGATCCAACTGGACTTCTGAACTGTAAAAATTACCATTACCTGGATGATTAAAAATCCACACAGACTAACGAAACACAGATCTCTCTTTTGTCTGGTTAATTAGTGATCATGTGCCTAATGACCCACAGGAAAACATACCTGGCTTTTTGCAGCTGCACCAATTGACCGATTCCGGGGTCCAAAGGAAACACATGCTCTAAAAAACAGAAAACACAGGACAGTTTTGTCATCTGCAGCTATTTTTCTACAGTTGTGCTGTTTTGTATGGGTTAATCAAACCGATAAAAACATGCTAACTTATCGTGATGATAACAATTTCACCTGCTGATCATTTTAATGTGTGTAAATGTATATTCTATGTTCCCTTTTCGGTGTTTTTTGTTTACTGTAGGTCTGAAAATGAAGTACAATGGACTGATCAAGCCGTTTTGACAGCCAGGATCCGGCCTCCTCCCATCATGCGCCCATTCATGCCCGCAGTAAAACAACCATCACCTGACCGGGGAGGTCGGCTATCAGTCTCTGGACTAGCTCGACGATATTATTGCTAAAAGACACCACAAGACCCTTTTCATGTTGCGAAAAGGCACCGGGATTTCTTTATATCCAATAATTTCACGTCAGCTAGCATTAGCTTTAGCAATCACATGCCGTTTCCTGTTGTGAAATCTGCTAGCATGCTAACTAGCTAGCTAGCAACATTAGCTTCGCCGTGTATCATGATGAACAAAGGTTGGTTCGTTGCCATCGTGTGTCTGCCACCGGCGCAGACAGAACAGCGAAAATCACACACGACAGTTCGTCTAATCGGACTTACGGTGTACATCGATCGCTGTATTCGTTAGCGACAGTTTCAATCCCTCCGGCTCTGGCTACCGCTACATAGCAGTTCATAAAGCCGACGTCGAAACCTACGACTGACATCCTCGCTGACTAAACTTAACAGCGTGGAGTTACGAGGAAGAACAGAAATACAGTTCAGTGCTAAAAAGTGACAGCAGCAGCAGCGGCGGCGGCTACGGAGGCTTCCAGTCAGCGGACGGTGATCCACCCTTGTTCTTGTTCCATGAAGCTGAGCAGCAGCATGCGGTGCGCCGGCAGATGCGCGAGAGCGTTCAGGAATTTTCTCTCCGTCCACCGACCAATAGCATCCGACTGCGGAGCCGCTAGGGCCGGTAATCCTGCGCCCCCTACCGCCCAGAAGTGTCGTTACACTGGCAGGTATCTTATCAACCGCACTGCTGCTGGTATCCAACATAAAAGTCACATCCACTGCCATCGTTACGGCCACTGCAGATATCAGCGCCTTAAAAATTGTGTGATCTGTTTCATCAGTTAAACATGTGCACAAGTATATAAGATAAGATAAAATAAGATAAACTTTATTGATCTCTCACTGGGGAAACTTACAGGTTACAGCAGCAACATACAAATGGAATGGCATGGACGAGGCAATTGGTACAATAAGGCTAAAATGAGATAAAATATATAATGAAGGTATAATCAAGACAATATACAAGGCAGGATGGAATTACATGTGGCTATGTACACATACGACATTATAATTATACATTACAAATGCATACAGATATGTCATTATGGACAATGCACCCAAAATGTAAGTTACTGCAATCAGAATGCAACTGAGAGATGAGACCTGTGTTAACATTATGTTATAGCACATAAAAAGCTGTAAAAGAACAGAGTCATGTTTTGTTGATAAGCTACGTGGAAACAGTGTTTTGTGATGCTTTAGCTCTTAAAGAGCTATAGGAAGAAAAGCAGTGTTGACGAAGAGCTGTGGAGAGAGAGGGGGGGAAAAAACCCAATATTAAGAGATGTTGTTGCACCGAAAGAGCTATAAGGAGAAAAAAAAACAGTGTTAAATTATGCTGTTGCAAACTTGAAGATACTGGAAAATAGTGTAAAGTGATGTTCTTGCACCAGAATGATACTAAACAGTGTTAAAAATGTTGTTGCAGGATAAAAAGCTGTATGCAGCATATGCATCAAGGTGTTTATTTCTGCAGCTAATAACATTATTCTCCTTGCTCCCCCTCACCTCAAGCCCAACAAAATCCAATGTATGAACACATTAAACAGAAAAAGGCAGCAAATCACCACACTGAAGATGTTGGAACTACTCATCACTGGCATTTTGCTTGATAAGTATCATGTGTAACATTAGATTTTCATGTGCAGTATTTTAATTACATGTGCAATAATTCTTTATCATGTGTGAGTTTACTCATTCCCTCAGTACCATTGTCAGCTTTGCCTTTTTCTTTTTGTTGTTTTATTTCAGTAATGTATCATACTTGTGTCTTACTACTTTTCTAAGAGGAACTGCATTTATTCTCATGTTACGTCACTTTGTTTATTTTGGGATCAATAAAGTTTTATCTTTTGTTAAATGATTCAAGCAGTTATGAAACTGCAGGGTTTTTTTTGTTGCTCAACAAATAAGCTAAGCACCAAATTTGCATTCTAAGCTCTCAGGTGTCAAATCAGTGCTGTAATTTAACAAGTTTCACCTTTTTACCGATGACGTGGTTCTGTGGGCTTCATCAGGCTGTGACCTTCAAAGAGCACCGGGGCACTTTACAGCCCAACTAAAACGCCTCTGAGGCCATGGGTCTCTGCTGGAAACTGGTGGATTTCTCCCTCCGTGTTGGAGGTGAGTTGCTGGATCAAGTGTAGGAGTGACACGAAAAATAGAGCGTGAGATGGGTAGACGGATTGGTGCAGCGTCAGCAGTAACGGAGGCGTTGTGCAGGACTGTCGTGGTAAAAATGGAGCTGAGGACATATCTCATGTGGCTTGGGAACTACTTCAGGAGAAACTAAACAGCACTGCTGGGACGAGGAACATCTACAATGACCTGCTTCGCCTGCTGCCACCACGACGCCGACCCCGGATAAGTGGAAGAAAATGAAGGGATGATTTGCCATCCAAATTCAGTCAACACTGGCCTAACTAAGCGGCATGCCTGAAAAAAAAATCAAGTAAGACTAATTTCCCATGTTTATTTTTTTATCTTTATTGGTTAAGCATACAGAGTTGGAATTCAGAAATGAAGATAGGTTTCAGAAAGATGGCAGCAGTTTACTGGTCGTTCTCGAAGTCAGCAGGGTTCTTCCTCTTGCTCTGCCTATGGACGCTGTTACCCCAGCTGTAGACCATCAACCCGAGGATCATTGCTGCAAAAAGAAAGACAAAAGGAAATTAGCACTATATTTAAGTAAATGAGGCTACTTAAAAAACAACTTAAATTAGACTTTTTTTTCCAACATTCAGCTGCAGACAGCAAAGAATATCAAATTCAGACAGTAGTAAAAGCTTGCATATGTTGTACTAACTTTATTTTGGGACTTTCAGTGAATACATAGCATAAATTAAGTCCAAAAAATACCTTGTTTTGTTGTTAAAAACAGCAAATTTGTAGAGTTGGGTTTTGTGAACAGTCTTTTGTAGCATAGTATAAAAAGTTGGTATCAGCACTTGGCATTTGACACATCTAATTGCCACCCACTGTGATTTGTTATATAAACTTCAACAGAAGCTGTAACTGGGAACCAGTTCAACTCAACCTAATGACAGGTGAAGCTCAATTACAGGAAGCATCAAAGCCTGAGCTCAATGGCCAACAGGCTATTGTTCTCATTCTATGACACCTTCATGATAATATTAGATGACTGTTGACATGATGAGTTAGTGTGCAAGATTTCAATTACTGTATAATAATTACATGTATTTTCTGTCATATATCAACATGCTGGATGAAAATGTAAAAACTCACGGGGAGCAACTCTGAAGAAAGAGCCTGTGAACCTTCTCCATGTATTGGGGAGTGTCTTGGAGAAGAAGTTGGGGAAAGCCCTCTGCTCAAAGGGGGACAAGCTGTATGTGATCACATGCCTGATGTGGGCCAACTCTCCAAATTTCTGCCCCATGTTTACCAGAGAGCTGATCTGAAAACACAGCGACACAAATACACAGGTGGTAATGCTGTGGATTAATGCAAATAGTCCCAATTAAATATTTACAAAACGTAACTAGTGAGCCTCAAACACACAGAACTCCATGTATCTTTGCAGAGAGAAGAAAACTATTTTTTTATGTATCTTAGTAAAAAAGATATCAAATCAGTAATTTTAGGGTGGTTATTTAATTTAAAAAAAAAAAACAAAAACATAACTTCCAGCTAAACTGTAGGGACTAACACTCAGTTCTAAGAAATAAAACAAAGTTCCCTATTTGTTTGGTCTGTTTTGTTACAGAACTGATCAGAGACTGTATTAATTACAGCTATAAAACCGTTAGGTAATGTATAGAATTAGGGCTCTAGTATGACCTTGTGTGACACTAATTTTGGCAATGATTTTTAGGGTTACTTGGGTAACTATTGCATAACCATGTCTACGTGTTGTATTACCTGTAAACCAATAAAGCTTGATGTATTTTTCCAGATATGTACAGTTAGTCAATGTAATAGAGATAGTGGGGCAACATAATTTTAACCAATTAACATGCTTTTTACATGCTAATATATAAACGCATGCGTAATGTTAGTAAACACGTAATTGATAACGTTGTTTATAAACGTTTCCGTTGGTCGTCAGGAGGCCAAAAAAAACCCCACGAAGATGCCAAATTATCGATGTATATACATCATTACAAAAGCACGAAATAATAACCCAAAGTAAGTTAAAGCAAAGCACGACGAGCTAGGCCAGCTAGCCGCGCTAAATGTTAGCATCGGCAACTAGCTCCAGGAGGCTAACTGCTAAAGTACAAACAGACCTTGAAAGGTTATCTTAGCGGACAACTGTACATGGTGGTTTGAACGACAGAGACTCAACGTAGCTCAGTTTTACTCCGAAGAAACAGTAGAAGTGAACATATTTAGATGACAAAAGTCGGTAAAAGCACAACTACGCAGTTAAATTCATGACATTAGAGCTCACCTTTCCGCGTCTCCACACTGTTCTCTGACTGATACGGTTCCTATGTCCGTCGCATTTATCAGGGCGTCGGGTTGTTTGCTCACACCGAGGACGGTACCGCCACCTGACGGACGGGAGGGGGAAGGAACGGCGCCTCTTCTGGGCCAAGAATTCATCCACACGTCCTCAGATATTCTCGGGCAGGTGTTAGGAACTTGTTTAAGGTCAGTATTACAGCCACGTACATTTTAGAATTGATTGAACGTTACTGCACAGAGTACAAGTACTAAGACAATAACATGCAGTTTAGCATCTAACCAGAAGTACTAAAGCAGCAGTAAAGTGCAGTATATACAGTATCGTTATATCCACTGTGGTACAGTATGAACAGAAAGAACAATATAGACAGAGTAGGGTTGTTGAGAAGTTGATGATGAGAACACACATTTCTGTAGCACCTCCCAGAGATGAGGTACTCAAGTATCTAAGCTAAGCTCAAGTACTTGGCTACCCGAATATAACTTTTAAAGCTTTTCAATTTTGTGCAACTCTATACTTCTCCCATACTACATCTCAGAGGTAAATATTGTCCTTTCTACTTCACTGCATGCCGAACAGCTTTTGTTACTGGTGATCTTTCACATTTTTCATACCATTCTTGTCCAGTAAAAATCATGTTTCTCCCAGTTTGAATTTTTCTGATAAACTGAAAGATGAAGTGTTTTTCTACGGTATGAGAACACGCTCCTACTTAAGATCACCAAATTCTTGGATTAGCTGGGAAATGTATTGCTGCAAAGCTGAAAACAAAGCCAACATGCATGGTAGGCTAATTGGGGATTCTGAATTGGCTATAGGTGTGTGAGCATGCATGGGTGCACACATACACTCCTTTGACCAGTCACTATAAAAGCCAGCTGAAATCGCAGCTAATTCAAATGACATGATGGCTGTTGGATGCTGTGTGTCAGTTAGGGCTGTAATCAGGCACTGCAACGTTCACAACTGCAGCATTTGTCGTTTAAGAAATCGACAGCATCGTACAATAATCAGCCACACTATGCTCTGGATTTATGCATCTGACAACATGAGCCTGTCCTCCAAAATGTCCTCCAACTTCACCCAGCCCTTTAAATAGAGTGGGACAACAATCATCAAGCCATCATCGAGAACCTCATTAACCGTGCATTGCAGATGTGTGATTTTTTTTTTTTTTTGCAGATTAAACCCTTTTCCTTTTGATGCTTTAGGTTTTGCAGATTTTTCAAGTAACACCTACATATGAGGTGTGTCAGAAAAGTTCCAGGACTGGTGTCCCAAAAGATATATTTCAAATCCCCACTATAAATTTTCCCCTTCCAAGTAATCCCCCCTGGAGTCTAACCATAGACTGTATAAAAGTCTTATACAGTCTATGAGTTTAACACACTTTCCCAGCCTTCTCTGCCACACCGCCATGCACTCCTGGAAAGATTCTTCTGGGATCTTCCGCAGCTCTGTTGTCACAGCCATCTTGATGTCGTCCATGGCTTCAAAACAGGTCCCCTTGATGATCCCTTTGAGCTTGGGGAAGAGGAAAAAATTCCACGGAGCCAGGTGGGGTGAGTAGGGAGGATGCTCCAGCACGGCAATGTTCTTCTCAGCCAGGAACTGTCGGATGCTCAGGGCATTGTGAGCAGGCGCGTTGTCATGGTGAAGCAGCCACGACTTGTCCTGCCACAACTCCCGCCTCTTCACGCGCACTGAATGACGCAAATGCCACAGGATCTTATTGTAGACGTGCTGGTTGATCGTCTGAAGGGGAAAACTCATAGTTTGTAGTTTGGGTTTGAAATACATCTTTTGTGACACCAGTCCTGGAACGTTTCTGACACACCTCGTACATTTCCCCAAATAGGGCACTGAATGCAGAACTTTATATAATTTAGAGTATTTTTACAGTGTGGTATTACACTTTTACTAAAGAATCTGAATACTTCTGCCACTGATGATATTTAGTTTCAGCAGGAACATGCTGCCACTGATTATGTAGTATTCAGCAAAACATAAACAGCGATCAACATCAGGAAAAAAAATGTAGAAACCATAGAGGCTTGAGCTGAAATGCATTCCATCAGTTGAATTAAAAAGCCTGCGTTTTACTTTAAATGGAGCATTTCCACATTGTGGTATTTTATATTTATCAATTTTTTAAACTAAAGAATCCAGATCATTTTTAGTACTGTGTCAGATGACTCCAGACTAATCTCATCAGGGGTCGCCCTCACACACAGTCTTACTGAAAGAACAGTAAGCACATACTCTAAAGCAGGGGTGTCCAATCCTGGTCCTCAAGGGCCACAATCCTGCATGTTTTAGATGTTTCCCTCTTCCAACACACCTGATTCAAATGATCAGGATCGTTATCAGGCTTCTGCAGAGCTTGATGATGAGCTGATCATTTGGATCAGGTGTGTTGGAAGAGGGAAACATCTAAAACATGCAGGATTGTGGCCCTTGAGGACCAGGATTGGACACCCCTGCTCTAAAGTGTATTTAAGAGGGCCAAGTTGACTCAACATTCATGACAGAATAAAAGCTTTTTTTGTGTGTTTTTTGGTGCACCTTCTCCCTGTTTGATGAGCATGTCAGACAGCTGTATGCAGACAAAGACAACATATATGCATGCTACTTTTAATTTTCCAACTTTTCACAGAATGTCTAGATATTTTCATTCTTTTCAATTTTAGCTGAGCACAGACACACAGTGAATTCATTAATTTGCATAAATAGACATGACATGCACATTCAACCAGTACAAATACATAAGCATGCAGTCGGTTCACACGTATGCAGTCACTCAGTGACCAGACGTAATAAATACACACCGAAACCTTGACAACTTTCATTCTGGACATTATGAAGACAGCTGCCATTCAGACAGCTGTCTGTAATCCCCAGGAATAAAACGATATGTAAAAGGTTTGATACCAGTTTGTGATTGCTTTTTCCGTTTTTTTTTTTTTGTTGTTGTCCAGAACAGGGCGACTTAAAATTTGGCAATTGTGTTAAATTAAACAATAATGACAGACAACTCACGCAAAATAAGTTAACAAAAAAACGAACTTAAAATAAATCATACATCACACATTTTTTTTCTTCAAGTGTGTTCGATTCACTACCATATATGCAAACAGTAAGCTGCAGAACAGGATACATTTGCACCTTTTCTTGTCATGCCTTAACAAAAAGGAAATAAATGCCACGCTTCTACATTACGATAAAATACTTTGTTTAAGTAAACACACCTGCTCCAGATCAAACTTCTTTCATGCATTTTATAATTTCATGAAATCACTGAGCCTGGTCAGAACATTTGATTCTTGGAAATAGTTCAGCTGTGATGACTGTTGAGGAGGTTCTTAGTGATGCTCTATTCAGCCTGTAGACAAGAAGGAAAAACAAAAGACCTATGCTGGTAGCTGGCTTAGCGACATGTGCACCTGGTGGCGACCATGTCTTCAAACTCCTTGTAGACGTAGGAGCCGTCCTCTTCGAAGATCATGACGCTGAGGGGGCTGTAGTGGGAGGGAACACACGAGGGCCGGGGCACGGAGGAGTCAAGCTTCTCGTAGATGATGTTTTGCACCATGGTGTGGACGGGCGACCCGTAGATGAAGCCCATCGTCCTCGGGCAGACGCCTCTGCAGTACCTGGGGTTGTACTTTGGTGGAAAAACAATCCAGTGATCCAGTTTGAGCTGACTGAAGCGCACCCTGAAATCATACAAGGCGCAGTCGCTTGTCGGGAATTCAGAGCTCGGAAGCAGCTCAGGCAGGTGGATGTCCAGGGTTTTATCACCTCGTTTGCTCTTTGGGGATTCCCTCTTCCATCTCCTCTTGCGCCTCTGTTCTGGTTTCAAAGCCATCTGCTTCTGAAATGTATTTGATGCAGTGGATGGCCTTGGACCTGCTTTGGCATTGACCAGTAACCTCTGATGGGCGATTTTGCTGGTGTCATTGAGGTAAAGAAGCAGAGGAGGGGATCTAAGGGTGAACTCTAGTAGGCTTCTGCGCCCATCGGCCCTCGCCCTTTGCTCATCTGGACAGGTGACGTTGACAAGCAGGTGTATATTCTTCTTCTGGAACTTTAACAGAGGCTGAAGGAAGGAGGTGATGTCGACCTCAACCCAGTTCCTCCAACTCCTCCTGTCTGCATTGGCCGTAAAGTTCACTTCGCGGTGGATCCCAGGACACAGCTGGCACTGGTTCGCCTGCTCCTGCTCCTTGATGCTCAGGTAACACACAGAGTTGACGGGTGCCGAGTGGTCGTGGTTGAAATTGTAGAGCAGGGCCGACTTCAGAAGCTGTTCTTTTCTTCTTACTTGATCGAGGCTGTAGGACAATTCCTGCATAAAACTTTCTGAGGGAGAATATAGGGAAAACATGAGGCAGACTGTCACCATTACATGTCAGTCTCAGAAAAGAAATCATGCAAATATCCATGCATTCATGGGAACACATAATTTTAATTAGCCAGAAAAAAAAACAAACATCTTGCACATTAATTTAAGTACATGATGTCACTGTTGCCTTTACATGGGTTTTTAAGGGGAGGTACAGCAGTTATAAACACCCATGTTGATGAATTTGATCAATTTTGACATATCAGTTCTCCACATAAGAACTACAATAAATTCTGGAAGAAGAAAAAAAGAAAATCTCACTCAAAACTGAATTAACATGACACTTGGTTGTGTTTCTTCAATCACAGTGGTTTTCATTATTTTATATTTTTTAAATTACTCAGTACAAAATTCAAGGGGCTACCATGACAAATGGTGCTGATAAGTCCTAAATAAGAACCATTTCTTTAGTCGTTTAGATGAAATCATTGTGATTTAACAAACACACAGATTTGGTCCTTGTATTTCCATACAGTAATACAAACTACTAGGTTAAAATAAAGTCATAGTTCAAAAACTTAACAGCTAAAAATGACACTCTTTGACACCAGTTTGCATCAGAGAGCCCCAGATTACAACAACAAGCTGTATTTATAAACCACTTTTCTTAGTGTTACAAAGTAATAGCCAAAAATGATAATTAAACCAGACTGGGCTGATAAAATGAGAATAAATCCAAGAATAAAGCTGCTACTGGACCCTTCTGACCCTCCCTCACTTCCTCCTCTTGTGCAGTTTATGTGCAGTCTAAAGCCTCCAAGTCTCCAGTTAAGGACTGTGCAAACCACAAACTACACATTACAACTTCATTATACACCCAAAGCTAGAAACTAGAGTGCGTATGCAGCTGTTGTGTACAAGCACCTTCCCCTTTTATCCAACGTTTCCTGTAGCATCGCTCTCTGTGGTTGGAGTTAAGGTTCAGGTTATGTTATGGCGAGCAGAGGTTAGTGGTTGTGGTTGGGGTTGGATTAAGCGTCTTAGGAGACTCTTTGAGAGACAGTGAAACGGTCTTAGACGCAACATGGGAGCACAATAAAATGAACTTGCTACGGATTTGTGTGTCAGGTTTGTGGAATTCTGCACTTTATTTGCACTGTATAAACTAAAACATATAGCCTATATGTTCTTAACTGGTGCCATTTCCCCCAACAAATATGCAAAAAAAAGTTGCCAGAACCAATCCACACACAGCAAATGATGGTCTTGAGGTTCCTCTGATCCCATGGCAGTTTGTAGTGTTGCCTAGTTTTGAAAATGTGGCTTTTAAACCTGTATTTCCTTTGTATTGTGACAAAAAACCTCCGGTCACATCACTGTAGTTGTGTTTAATTTTTCATTAGATGTAATAACGTCAAGCATGTGACTCTAAGCAAATATTTTTAAAGTGTTATTTTATGTTTTTAAAGAAAGTTTTATTAATTGATTTGACCCTAGAGCCCCAGTACTGTAAATGCGTGCAATCTCAGCATGGAAGGAACATTCCCACAACATTGGCTAACATTATCTACATGTTCTAACAATGTTAATCCTATGTTTAAAGAACGTTTTAAGGATATTTTTAATTAAGATAATGTTTCTATGAGATTAAAAGTTAACCAAGATAGAACATTTTAACATTCAGAGGAAGTCTGGAGGATGTTGTCGGATAAGATTGCATGCTAAAAGAACGTTCTCAAACCAACATTGAAATAATGTTTAAGATGTTATCGAGGCCTTAGTGTTAGTGTAATTTAATAAATTAACAAAGGTTGAACATTTCCCAGTATTCTAAAGGATGTTTTGGGAACGTTCTTCTATAAAACGTTCCTACAATGTTGCATGCTGACAAAGGATAGACGTTCCAGAAGGAACATGGATGGAGAAAGAAAGAAAGAAAGAAAGAAAGAAAGAAAGAAAGAAAGAAAGAAAGAAAGAAAGAAACAGGGAGAGGAAAAATAAAATAAAGATATCTTTTGCGAGGGATTGCGAAACTTTCTTGGGGTCTTGCAATAACTTTTGCGCGATCTCGTAAAAGTCACATCAATCTTATTGGACGTTTTGTGAGAACTGCGTCTTGCTAAGCACCGCTTGAATGTATTTATATTTTAGGCCGATTTCAAAATAAAACTCAATAAAACACACCACATAGTTCACTATATATTGGTCCCTATATAGTGAGAAGGGAGTGAATGGATGACTTCAGACACAACCCTGTAGTTTTGCGAGATCCCGAGAAAGTTTTGCGAAATCTCACAAAAGATACCTCTAATTTTTTTCCCCATCTCCCTGTTTTTTGGGGGTTTTTTTCTCCATGTCCCTTCCGGGGCTCCGTACCTTCTCAATGCAGCGATCACAAAATGTTGAAGAACTCTGAAGAACTTTATCTTGCCTTTAGGAAGAACATTCTGGGAACTACCTGAAAACATGAGTAGAACTTTGCCGAGCTCTCTCAGAACAGTGAGCTCCTCGCCGGCCTGTCAGTGTCCAGTCAGCTGCTCACCTTTGTTGCTCTGTGCAGGACACTCGTCGTGGGGTTTGATCAGTCGGACGGTGTTGTAGACTTTATTCCCGTCCACGCTCCTCTGCACCCGGGACGACTTCTTGTACACCTCGGTGAGATATTTCATGTACCTGTGCTCGGGCTTCATCTTCTTCTTGAGGCCCGGGTTCCACCTGGAGCCTCCGTGCTCTGACAGGGCTTTGAGCAGCGGGGAGAAGATGCTGCCGTACGGGTAGGCGAAGTCGCCCAGGGTGTGCAGCGCGTTGGAGGCGGCCGGAGAGGATGTGACCAGCGGGGAGCTGCAGGCGACGAGCAGCAGCAGCAGCAGCAGGACGGTGCGAAAGAAACGAAGAGCGGCTGACATCAGCATTTGTTTATCCATTATAAACAACGAAACCGGTCAGAACTTAGAGAGACTCTCTGCCGAGAGCTCGAGGTCAACGGCACCACGCACGTGCCGCCGCTGATCAGCACGCGCAGGTGTTGGCAATCAGCTCCATGAGTCGTTTTGCTGTCAGAAGAAGAGACTTTATGAGAGAGAGCTGGAGCTGCAGGTCAGTCCAGCAGCAGAGCAGGCTGCTGATGCTCAGAGTGGGACAGGTTCACTCAACTAGACGAGCCTCTAAGTCACAGTTTGTCTTCAAAAGGTGGAGCATTAGGTAGTTTAAAAAAACAAACAAAAAAATGCCCCCCCAAAAAAGTAGGTTTCATGTCATTTAAAGGGACTTTTATGGGTCATGAAGACAAGTTTTTAGGTTAACAAACAATTTAAAAAATGGAATGGCTAAAGGGAATTTTTTATCTTTTGGCTTTATCGTTTTTATGTTCATGCAGTAGCTTTAAAGACATTGATTACATTTTTTTTGAATTATTAACTGCAGTTGTGTGTCCAAACGTACAATATTTCAATTTAGTGAACAAAAACAACCAATTCAAGTTTAAATTACAGACAATATTAAGTTTGTGCAAAAACCAACAACAACTAAACAAACAAACAAAAGAAATGTGACAATCTGAAACCAATATGTGTATAAATACTTTCTTTCTTTCTTTCTTTCTTAATGAAAAAAGGGCTAATAGCTGTAAAATGATGTTTTTTGCTAATTCTAGTCCAGTAAAAATAGTGTAGCTTTACGGTCATAAATTGTAAAATAACAAATTACTATTTGTGAAAATTCAGATTTTTCATGTGGGCTTTTTGTACTGTTTTGTGTTTTTTTTTTACAGTTGGCATGTAAATTAGTACTTTTGTGATTTTACTAGATATTATCTGTAATTTAACAAAACAGAGAAAATCAGTAAAATAACAATATTAAAAATATCTATCATCTTTCCAAATCTTTAATATCCATATTTCTTCCTTTCAAATAACAGCAGATATAGGTGAAATAACAGTAGTTTTCTAATTAAATACAGTAAAAAAAAAAAAAAAGAAGACTTTAATTTTATGGTATAATGATTCCTGTTCTGAAGGTTGTGTTCAGTTTTGGCCTGTTTTTTTTTTTTTTTTTTTTAAAGAAAAGAAAAACCTTTTTTATAGTGTACTTTTGTAAACACAGATAATGTATATATTGCTGGCTCTAAACAGTAACTTAGAGATTGAAATTCATATGATATTCATATAAAATAAACAAAATGTATTTTATCTATAGGAATCTTTTTCGTAGCATTGACACACAGCACTGTGTGTATGCTTCAAAATAGAGGCTTGTCTGGTGACATTTTTTGCATGACGATTTCCATGAAGAGCATAAAAACTAAAGCAACTGAAGGTAATGTTCAGATGTATAACTGGCAATTTGAAGGTTTAAAAGAAAAGTTACTTGGGGGTATGTTAGCTTAATAGCTTACTAGTCAATAGCTACTAGCTAGCATTAATGTAATTTTTACATAAACTACAGCATAAGGTATGAGTAGTCTATACTGAAAAAAAAAATCTAGTATTTTATTACATTTTATCCATTATATTTAATGTAGGGGAATAAATATTTGTTGTTCCAATACACAGCATCTGTGCAACAGAAAGAATGTCAAGAAACAACAAAGTACAGCTATATTGGAAATGATACTGGAAGATGGAGATTGAAGTCAAATACCAGAAATCACAAGTAATGAATTACATCTGTGATACAGAGGGTTAATGAGGTTGTTGATGCTGATTTGTATATTGTAGTGTCGCTCTTCCTGAAGGGCTCGGTGAAGTTGACAGACATTTTGGACTCGTGCATACAGAGCAACATGTGGCAGATTGTCTGTTATGCTATATTATTTAAAACAATTTCTCACATTAGAAATGGTGGAGTTGTGGACATTTGAGAGTCTGGTTCTGGCTCTTACAGACACTCCAGCATTCAGCAGCCAGCAGCCTGCTCTAGTCCTTCTCTTGCTATCTGTGGCATCATGACATTTGAATAAAGCTGCATTTTAAAGTGGCCTCTTACAGCCACTGGTCAAAGGAGCGTCTGTGTGCTGGTCACACTATCTGATCGCTGTCCTTTAAAGCAACACCTGATGAGGGTGTGGATGATTCAGTTTGTTAGTTCACCAGGTGAACAACATCCAGTCCTCCTTGAAGCTGGATAATTTAAACTAAACTAGATTAGTTAGGTAGGAAAATTATAGCTATGAAAACAGTTAAGGTTAAAGCTGTTGTCTATTCAGCTACGCATAGAATATTAAAATTTTAATATTAAGTTGCACTTTTGGAAAAATAAATCCTGTTTAGTCTGTGGTAATTATTTCTTATCAAATAGTCTAATTACATCAGGTAACAAATATGTCAATAATAGGAATATTCAGCAGTATGTCAGGTTCACTTTGGGCAAAATTACAAAACAAAGTGTAGGTGGCCACTAGAGGGCAGAAAGTACACTCCAAAACAAACTGCATACACAGTACACATATATTATATTATATTATATTATATTATATTATATTATATTATATTTTATTTTGGCAAAACATGGCTACAGATCCAGCAGAAACAAAAGAACAGACCAGTGTGCACTGATGTTGGATTATTATTTTAAAATATGTAAAATATGAGTTCTTTTTGGGTTTCCCTAAACGTTTTGTTGCTTAGTGAGTCTGGCTATCTTGCTTCAGAGAAAAACAACCTTTTTTTAAAATTTGAGTTTTTATTTTTTACAGATGATGAAGTTTCTGATAGCACAGGACCCAGTATAGTCCAGTTCTCTTCTCTGTAATAACCCAAAGACTACTTGTCAGATGTGGCCTGCATTCATTCGGGGACGTTTTTTCATTAGTACAATAAGACGACGTGTTCTTACATCATCACTAAACAATTGTGTGGTTTTATGTTTACTTTGAGGTAACTGGTGTTTTGCACAGCTGGGCTTGCCACGCTTTGCCAGACAGGCACTTTGTAGAACTATTTGCAGCACTGGATGTCTTGCATGTACTGAATCTACTAAATGCTTGAGGTTGACTTGACATTTTTACGAGAGGCTCTTCTTATCTTTGGCAGTCTGCACAGTACGTACTGAGGTTTTGTCAGATCGTGGTTGTTTAGCAGAGCAAATAATCCATTGGTAATCATTTTAGACAATTTTGTTGTCCAAGTAAATTATTTATTCCTAAGTATAATAGCAAACAATGTATGTATTTAATTTTTATTCGACTTATGTGAGAAGTTTTTCCAAGCTTTAGTTGGGAGTTACTCATTTTGCGAATCCCTCAATAATACATTTTTAAAAATACCTTCTTTTTTTTCACTATTGCAGTCTTTTGACACAAACATTAACACTTATTCACCATTATGACAAAAAGCAGTACCTGTACAATTAACGTCTGTAAAGCCAAACCATTTGAAATGCTAATGAAACTATTAGCATATCCTCAAAACTTCTGTAAACTGCAGCTAAGGATGAGGAACATTTCCTGTCCTCCATCAGTTAACTACAGTGTGATTTATTTAGTGCTGTCTCAGAAATGAGCACATGGCCTACATGGAGTAGGTCTGGTCAGCACGAGCAAACTTTAAACAACATCATGTAGAACAATTTAGTTTTGATGGCTGAAGCCTGTCTTTTTTTTATTAGTGAAGCTTTCACTGCATCTGGAAATACATGCAGTGGATCCGGCTGTTGTAGCTGCTGATTACACAGCGAGTGTTTGTATTTATTGTACAAACTGGTATCTACATTATCATGAGATTATCTTTTTGTACAGCAGCTGTCAGGACAGAATTATTAGATTTTATCTTCATTTATATTGATTTTAGGAGATTAACTGTTTAGGCCTGTTTTAAAATAGCAATGCCATGTTGTGTGTCCTCGTTCCACAACATGCACCGATGCCAAATATAATCTGTTTATTATTCTGTTTTGCAGCAACTAGTATCCTTAATATACAAAAACCTGCTGTGCTGAAGCAATTTCACAAACAGGAAGTGACACAGCACACTTCTCTGCTGTTGGAGAGGCTTTGATTTTTTTTTTAAAATTTCATTCGGATCACAGGACATAGGAAGCCTTTCAGTGGGAGTTTTCTCTTTCTAATCATTTAGTTCTCTTGCAGCGTTGAAGAATGTGCCATTGAACACACAAAGCAGTCTAATACGTTGAACAGTTTCTGTGAGTGCAGCTGTCCTTTGTAATTATGCAGCAGCTCCTTTTCCACATAGCAAAACAAAGGACATTGTTCTGGCACGGTTTTGCTTATAGCTTCATTGTCTGAGCTCCAACTCTTTTCATGTCATCAGGGATTGTTTTTTTGTTTTTTTTTTCCACTGGGGCAGTTAAGGATGAACACTGTTCTGTTTTTGTACTCAACTAAAAAGGCAGTTTCAATGCATGTCTGGCCTGGGAAAAAGTCAGTCATTTATAGAACAATAAAATGTCATTTACTTAGTTGTTGTTGTTCATGTCTTTGTGGGCATTTTTGTCAGATTTGATGAAAAGATAAAGCTCCCCCACTCATTCACTTTCAAATATCCTACAATTTCTTCTTGAATTTATACTTGACAGATGAAGGAATTTGTCTTAAACTTGTATGCATTGCTAAACTGATTGATTGCTGTGTGGTTTGGAGGTCGTGGCTGATAGTCTTTTTTTTTTCACTGCAGCCGTCCAGAGATGGGGCCCATGTTTGTGCCACAAAAGGAGGCCTTCCTCATCCAACCTCAAGATTACAAAAGAAATTGATAAAGCAAACATTCTTCCACCCTGACCAGCGGCCTGCCTGCTTTGCATAACCGGCTCCATGTAGGTCCTCTTTACATGCACTGAAGCTGACAGACTACTTTTGTAAGATACTGTTAACTACCACTATTTACTGAATGTTTTCGCTCCACTACATTTGCCTTTAAAAATTGAGCTGATGGAAAAAAGAATGACTGCCCCACTTCTTAATAAGGGGAGTCCTTTGTACCACAGTATCAGAGGCACTCTCATTTTAAATATGAAAATCCTTTATAAAAACACGAGTAAACCCTGAAGTGGGACAGCCAGTATTGTTTCATCTTTCTGGCTAGATCCTTGAAGAGCACCTCATTTAGTATTTTCTCCACTTTGAAACCACCAACATTACTGTTCTTGACCCCGTGCAGCACCCCGCATTTATTTCTGTCAAGTGATTTAATTGGCTGGTTTAATTTGGATGATCAGACAGGGCTTTTCCTGCACAGAGGAAAGTTTGGCATCACCTCCAAAAGGAAAATCATCAGTGCCAAAATGATCAAAATCAAGCATAAAAACATGGTTTTACCAGTTTTGTTAATTGGGGTTTCATTCACTCAAGCATAACAGACATATTTGTTTATCAAATGGTCAGAAATAACAAGAAAATGTACAGATTTCTGACAACACAGATTCATTACTGAACGGATCGTGCTCACTGTCATGCTTAAGTCAACCCTCCAAAGGCGAATTCCCCTCCAGGAAAAGCCCTGGCAGACGATCGGAAGTATCTGAACTGCAGTGCACAAAGCAATGAGTGCACAACAAAACAGTGGCATGTTTCTGACTCAGCGACTGTTTCCCAGTTATGGTCTGTTTGCAGTATTTCCTTGTACTTTGCAGTCAGGAATCAAAAAGTGACATCTTAAAATTTATTACACGAAAAAATGTGTGACTATCACAGATGGTTGGTGATATTAGTAAGAAAAATATATTAAATAGGTGCAAAGTAACATGCTAACTGTTATTACATGAAATCCAACTAAAGGGGAATAAAGAAAATTATAAATATCAGTCATAAATAGTACATCCAGCAGTGATACACTGTACAAGGCTATGCAATAAGAACACATTTGTAATCCAGTTACAGACTCTAAGTGATGCAGCATTAGTAATGTCAGATATAAAAGATCATGTGGAAGAAGTATCAACTCCTACAAGTTCAATATCCTACATCTCACCAGTCATGAGCAAACTTAGTCTTTTGTTTCTTCCCCATGTGAGGCTGGAACAGTTTGCTGATGGTGTTGAAGCTTTTCGTCTGCTCCTTGTACTCCTCATCCTCTGCCTTCTCCCTGCTCGGCTTCACGCCTCCCACCAGTGCTCTGACCTCAGGCGACACACCTTTGCCCAGGTAGTGGAAGGCCTTCTTGCCGTCATTATCCCTCTCGTTCACACTGGCTCCATAACGTTGCACCAGCAGAACCATCACCTCGGTGCGGCCGTGTATGGCTGCGATGTGCAAAGGCGTGTATCCTCCGTGTGCCTTGCTGTTGATGTTCACATAAGTGCCTCTTTTCTTGCAGACGTCCAGGATCTTGTGCATCATCTGGCCGTTTCCATCTTTGGCAGCCCAGTGCAGAGCTGTGAAGCCTGACATGAAGTCTTTCTTCTGGGCCAGCCGTGTGTCCCTGAGCAGCAGGCCATACACTTGTCCCCAGAGTCCAGCAGCACACTTCACCAACCACTCATGAGCTAGTGGCTCCAAAGGCACAGACTCACAGTCTTTGATATCATCTGCTGGTCGTGTGGTCTTACTTTGGGGCCTAATCTGGGGGAAACCTGTGTCCTCCTTCTGCCTGCTTTTCCAACTCTGGGATTCTCTTAATGCATCCTTCTTGCAAGCTGCCAGGTTCAGAGCTGGCACTGATCTTGAAGAAACTTTGCTTCCCAACGTGGTGGTTTTATGCTGATGCACTTGGGAATGTGATCCGTCCTGTGCTGCTGCTGCTGAAGAGGCTCTCTGAGGGGATTTCACCGCTATGACAGCGAACACAGCTCCAGATCTGCCCGCTCTGCTCGCCTGATCTCCGGAGATATTCAGGACTTTGACAGTAGTTGTGTCCGCGCTGCTAACACTTCTCGATAGCTGCCTCTTTTTCTGCGGGCTCTCCACTGGCGCACGTTTGGCACCGCTGCAATAATTTCCATTTAAGCTGGAGGGGCTGCGCACATTATTGTTTTCAAAGTCTGCGTACATCGCTCTGGCTGACTCGGCTCCATGAGGAGACGAGAAGCTCGCGTTTGGGCTCGAGAAGCTGTAATCCAACTGCGTTTTCTGCGCAACATCGTGCGCCAAGTCTTTAACGAAGTCCTGGTACCTTTTCTTCACGACCACGAACTTCACCTCGTCGATCTGTTTGACCACAGCGACGCTGTTCACCAACTTCTTGAAAAGGTCTCTATTGTGCTGCTTTTCCGCGGGATCACTGCAGCTGATGTGACTCCTGAAGTTGTTCAGCAGGTCACAGTTCCTCACTTTGCCTCCGTGTTCCAGTAAAAAAGACAGAATGGACTCCTGGGTCAAAGCCATTGTCGTGCTGCCCGGACAGAAATATGAAAAGATGCAGCAGATAGCTTAAGTAAAGCCCGAGGGGATAATCTGTCTGTGCTCCCCTCTCTGCTGTCCTCCACCAACCTGCAGTTCCGGAGCCTCTCCAAACAAACCCACCCGCTTCTATTATGGCACAGCCCCGTTAACAGGCTGCTCTCAGGAGCCTAACAGCACAGCATCAGCTCTTTTTGCTTAAATTTACAGATTAAGGGTCCATATGTAAAACTAAATGTTAGAATAGTTGGCTATGTTAGTGCAAAACTAT